AAAAGAGAAGCACGAAAACAAATTCAAGGCCGAGACAGGCGACCCAACAGGGCGAATACGACCATAAAGGGAGGACGGGTGAGCGACAAAACGTGGACTAGGTCACGACCGTCGTGACCCCAGAACCTGGCTCGAAGAAAAGGGCGGCCTGCTTCTGTGACCATCGTTTCTGCACGGACAGGTCGGTCGTTGCAGCATTTGTCGTATTCTGTCTCACAGAGGACAGGTATCTCAGAAAACACCAGGAGAACCAGGCGCAGCTTCGAAAATAAAAAATCACACGACGACCACGACTACGACTAGCACAACGAACAAATCACAACTCCCCAAGCGCCCTACCCCTGCAGACACGATCCGCCGTGCTTCCATTCTCGTGTACAACGATCCGGCAAACGACAAGCCAAAGATAGAGGCACAGGCAGCGGCACATGCAGAGAGAGGCAAAAGTCGAAAAGTAAACGTACGGACATAAAGCAAGATCGCAGCAAACCAGTACACCGGCCGTGTCCGCTGCGCCGAGAAAGGCTTGCACTTTTCTTTCCTGCGACAAATTTACCCGCAACCCAGAGAAAAAGAAACGACAAATACAAGGTGCAGAAAAAATCGACAACGGTTTTCTTTACAACATCTGAGACGACAAAACCACCCAAAAAGTTGGGCGAGACGTTGACGAATTAAAACGGGGTCGGCCCGTTTACCTTTCATTCAAATCCAGACTTGGAAACGGCACCCAGACACCATTCTACCAGCTCCAACCTTCACCACGCACTGAGACTCGTCACCGTTCATCTTGTTTTGCAGTCCGCAGTAAAGAAAACGAAGAGGGTCTCCAATTGCACTCCCGCACTCTCTTCCTTCTCTTCTCGGCCTTTTGGCTCCTTCTTCCTCTCGTTTTTGCTCCGTTTGCTCCTTCCCTTTACCGGCCCGCCCCCGCAAACGCGTACCTTCCACAATGGGCGTCTTCTTTGTCAGCTGGGCACTCTGGGAGGAGATGACTTTTGTATGTCCCACTGCTCGATCTACCACTCAACGACTCAAAGGGATATATGTCTCCATCGATCGTCTTGCTAACCCGTCTCGCCAGGTCCTCGCTTGCGCCATTGCCGTCGTCTTCCTCATCGGCCTGTTCAAACTATGGCGCACCAGCCGCCAGGTCCGCCGCCAGGAGATCATTGACGAGGAGAAACGTGCCCGCCTCACCGAGATGCGCAAAGTCGGCATGTCCTCATCACCAACCGCTCGATCTGCCGCCGCCGCCCGCAAGCAGCGCACCAACAGCGACATTCCCTTTGGCATACGCGCCATCCAGACCGGTGTCGAGGTCGACGGTATTTGGATCTCACGTCCGACGACGCCAAGCCGGAGCTCATCAAAGACAAAAGCACCTGGGCAGACCGGGCGTTCTTCAGGTCAACAGACGGGCCTCGACACTCCGTCGAACGCGTCGACACCCTTGCCCCAAATTTCCGAAGACGACACGACATTGAGCACGCACTTGTTGACGGTGGCCCCCTCAAGCCCCACAAGAAACACAAGGCCGGTGGTGGCCAGCGGGCCCCTCAATGAAGAGGCCCTCCGACGGCTCGAAGGCGCTTACTCGCACAAGTCGGCCCACCGAAGCGTGCCGACCTCACCCGCCGGCACCGCCGCTGCAGCCCCTTTGTCCACGACCGCCGCACCCCAGCTCAACACCTACATTCCCAGCTCGCGCATGTCCAGCCCGAGCCCGAGCTCTAGCATCAACCGGCACCACGGCCCTACCCCAGCGGCAGCGGTTGGCAGACTGGCCAACTACCAATTGCCGCCGCCACCAGCTTCGCAACAGCAGCAGCAGCAGCAGCAGCAGCACCTTCAACACACATCCACGGCGTCGGCCGACTCGCTGTCATCCATGAGCGTCGGAGCAGCCGGCGGTAGCGGCCCCAGCAGCCATGCCGACCGCAGCATCCGTAGCAACCGCAGCAACCGCAGCAACCGTAGCACGAGCAGCCGCAGCAGCACCTCGTCCGCGTCACGGTATCCAGTGATCGCAACGCTACCAGCCGACAAGTCATATTACCACCGGGTCGCCGCCCAAGACACGACCGGCCATTTTAGAACGTCTGAGGCTGCGGCTGCGGCAGCATACACGCCCATGTTGATAGCCGCCCCCGGTACGGCCCTGGCCAACCGTCCCGCCCGCAAGGTCAACGCGGCTGTTGAGGTTTTGCCGGCCGGGACGTTTGGTCCTACGGTCACGCCCTATACCGATGAAGACAGGGAAGCTAACGAGACGATGCTGGACGGGCGTCATAGACTCGTACGGGACTCCGGACGGGCATCGCAGTCGACGTCCAGTTGGGCATGAAGAGAGCGGGAAGTGTGATATCAAAAAAGTCTTTGTTCTTTACATATATGTGTATGTGTTTCTTTTTTCTGTACATGTAAATCGTTAGGGGGGACGGGGGAGTGCTTGCCATAATGTCGTTGCACAGGACTGGTTTCATGATTCGTGTTTCGTTTCTTCTCTCTGTTTGATTTTGAATCATGGATGAGCGTAATAGACTGCACATAAATATTATTGTTTATTGACTCTCACTGTCTTCCGGTGAAAGTAGGACGAAGAAGTCATTAGAATAAAACGTGTATATCGGCACGACACTAACCGTGAAAACAATAGAATGCAGAAAGTCTGAGGTTGAAATAAGGTTGCAGGAGAAAGAACAACGAAAAGGGGAGAGAACAAAGTCTACATTTGTCGATCTGTTTGGAGTGAACCAAACGCTCAGCGGGCCACCAATGCAATGTTAGCGAACGTATGGCGCTGTATGTCGTTGATTAGCGTCTCACCCAAAGTTTCCCTCTTAAAATCACCTGACTTGGCGTGTTGGCCGGTTTGTCAGCTACCCGCACCAGTCGCGCTTTCCGTCCTGAGCGACGCGTCAACAAACGCCCCCATCAACAAGCGAAATCAAAAATAGACAGGAAGGAGTCAACGACGCCAACGAATAGAAGCCCTTTCCCGTTGCTGCCTTGTCTATACGCAAAAACCCCCGCATCCCACGAGGGCCCCTTTTTGAGCCTCTGTACCTTTTTCTTTCGTCGGCCTCCGCTTTCACACCTCTCCATCATCCTCTTGTGTGCCTCGAACTACCACACCACGCACCCACATCTACACACAAACATGACACAAGTCGAAGAGTACGAGGAGAACGTTGAGGAGACAGGTGCTGGTGCCAATGTCGGTGCACCGCTGTCCGTATCCGAGTTGGAGGTATGATGTCCCTTCTCTTTACTTCTCTCTTTTCTTCCTCTCCATACGGAACTAACACGCCCAGGGACTCGGTGGGCTCACCAAGCGCGACATCCAGCTGCTGCACGATGGCGGCTACTACACTGTTGAGTCCGTCGCCTACACGCCCCGCCGCGCACTTGAGCAAATCAAGGGTATCTCCGACCTCAAGGCCACCCGCATGATCACCGAGGCCTCCAAACTCGTCCCCATGGGCTTTACGACCGCCACCGAGATCCACATGCGCCGCAGCGACCTCATTTGCATCACGACCGGCTCCAAGAACCTGGACACCATGCTCGGCGGCGGCATCGAGACCGGGTCCATTACCGAAATCTTTGGCGAGTTCCGCACGGGCAAGTCCCAGCTCTGCCACACCCTGGCCGTCACCTGCCAGCTGCCCTTTGACTGCGGTGGCGGCGAGGGCAAGTGCTTGTACGTTGACACCGAGGGCACGTTCCGGCCGAGCCGTGTGCTTGCCGCCGCCAACCGCTATGGATTGGCGGGCGAAGAGGTCCTGGACAACATTGCCGTGGCCCGCGCCCACAACTCGGACCACCAGCTGGCGCTCCTGCGCGACGCCGCCCGCATGATGGCCGAGACCCGGTTCAGTCTACTGATCATCGACTCCGCCACTGCTCTGTACCGCACCGACTACATGGGCCGTGGCGAGCTCAACAGCCGGCAAATGCACCTGGGCCAGTTCTTGCGGCAGCTGCAGTCCATGACCGACACGTACGGCATTGCTGTCGTTATTACGAACCAGGTGGTGGCCCAGGTCGACGGCGGGCCCTCGGCCATGTTCAACCCGGACCCCAAGAAGCCCATTGGCGGCAACATCATTGCCCACGCCAGCACAACACGCATCAGCCTGAAAAAGGGCCGTGCCGAGACGCGCATTGCCAAGATTTACGACTCGCCGTGTCTGCCCGAGAGCGACTGCATGTTTGCCATTACAGCCGACGGCATCGGCGACCCGGCGCCCAAAGACGACAAAGACAAGGACAAGGACGAGTAGTGTTTAGAGGGCGGCTATTGGTTCTGTTGTCCTGCTTTTTGTCTCGTATTGTCTGGAGTCATGTTTTCTGCCGGGCTTCTGGTGTTTGGTGTCATTTGCAGTCTTGCCATGCAGCCGGCGTTTTACGGATTTGTGGTGTTTGATCTTTGCCGTTTCGTTTGTATTTCAGCGTGATAAATTAGAATGTCAGTGGACTATTTGAGAATGAGCTGTCAAGAATAATGAATAGACGAAGTTGACTCAATTCGAAAAACTTTCTGTAAAATATTCCGAGAGGACTGACATACTCCCTGGAATACAGCGCTAATTGTTGACAACAACAGGGGAAGAACCGTTGGCAACGCCCTAAAAGGCTAATTTAGGCCTCTGAGCGTCACGTGCATGCAATTCAACTACTATTGTTCTGGAGCTGATTTCCATTTTCGGTTAGCGCTCCAGCCTGTTCGCTCTTGCTTTGGCCGCCAGCCTGACGGACGCGTTTGGTGTGGACCTGAAAAAGACTGTTTTGCTCTTTCACTGTAAAGGCTCTAAAATTGAAGCATCACGACATACTACGATACATTAAGGAGAACATCACGACGCAACCACCGTGTCATCCATGCCTGCAACGGACAGCGAATTGACTCGAACTTATTAAGAAAGCCTTATCTCGCCCCCCCAACGACCAATTCAATCCCGGTGCGCCTCCGCGCGCTGGATGGAGAGGCCACGATGGGTTCCCGCGAGCTGTACTACGCCTACAAAGAAACGCGGGTGAGCCTCGAACCCGCGTCTCCCGCGACCGTTGTCCACGCACAGGTGCCCGCAGCCAATGGAGGTGGCGGTCGTCGGTTAACAAGCAGGCTGGTCGGCGGTGCCGGCAGCTCGGGTAGCCACTACGGCAACGGCAACGGCAGCAGCAGCCCGAGCTTGTCTGTGTCGTCCTTTGCGAGCCTTTCTGGAAGCAACAGCGGTGACAACAGCACGTTCACGGACGAGGAGCGGTTCTACCGTGCCAAGAACCTTGCTTCCGAGTCGGGCATCTACCACCGCCGCCATCACGATGCGCCGCGCAGTTTCCTGTGGCGTGTGCTCGAGGGCGGCTACGTCCTCAGCATCCGCGCCATCGACGTCGCCAAGCACCAGCCGGAGAGCCCCTCATCGGCACCAGACGCGCCCCTGATCTTGTATCTGCATTTCCCCAAACCCGTGCGGCCGGGCTGCATCGCCCTTGCCGACCCGCAGCAACACGACGCTCTGGCCGTGTTTGTGCTCGACGAGTCGTTTTATTTGCACCACCTGCTCCTGCGGCCCGATGTGTTCCGCAAACGGGCGTTTGCCAACGAAGCCGACCTCGGCGAAGCCTGGAAGCCGTACCTCTCCGCCACGTTCAACTTTAAGCAGCCGCGGTGTCTGGTGGCTGTCAGCGCCAACGAGTTTGTGGTAGCCCTGCATGACGGTGGCCTCATCAATTTCCGCCGCGACCCCAGTCACCAGAGCCCTGCAACAGCAGCGGCGGCATCTGTGTCTTGGAAAGAGTCGTTCCACAGCCCCGTCGGCCTCATCCAGGGCCTCCGCAGCATCCTGCCGTTCCAGGGCGGGCCAACTATCAAGTATGAGGGCACGAATCTCGAGATCACAGCAGCTGCCTCGGCCGTCACAGCGACGCTCAGCCTCGACAACGGCGATGGAACGTCTACTGGCACGAACGGAGCGGCCTTTTTCTTCACCGTCTGCCTCGACCACCGACTGCGCATTTGGAACATTGAGCGCGGCGAGATCTGCTACACGGGCGACATCCTCGGTCTGGCGCGCGAGCCGCACGAGCTGGGCAAGTGGACCATTGATCCTAGCCAGACCAACCTCTTGCGCGTTGTCCCGCTCGACAACCAACCGGGTGCCGCCATTATCGCCACGTACTCGCCTGTCGGCGCTGGCGGCTTCAAGTTCTGGAAGGCCACAGCCAACGCGGCCCTGGACGGTGCCAACCACGGCAGTGGCGCTGCACGTGTCGAGGTCGAGCCCCTGGACAGTGCACCAGACTCGCTACTGCCGCCAACACCATCGGCAGCCGACGTCTGGACGCTGGCCGACTTTGCCATCTCGTACACGGCACCGCGCAAGCTGAGCCTGTGGGTGCTCTGGAAGAACAACCTAATCTACCGCGTCATGCAGACCGAGGCCGACCTCGACGATCTGGCGTCCGACTGGCAGGAGACTTGGACGGCCGTGCACACCGAGAGCGGTGCACCTACAGCACAGACGTCCGGCCCCTGCGACCCGACCGACGCCGCCGAGAAGTGGCTTGATCTCATCTTCTTCCCCGGCCGCTTCTCGCGCGCGACGCTCGAGACTGCCCTGGCCATGTACGAGCGCGGTCTGGGTGCGACGAAAGACAAGACCTCCAAGCGGAGCGGCGCGCCTTCTAGTACGGCTGTGTCAACGACCGCGTCCGCGTCGAGTCTCATGGAGTCCATCTGCACGGTCCTGGGATCGACCGCTGCACTCGAGCGCGGCTCGTCCGGCGCCATGGACTACGATCTCTTCCGCAGCGCCAGCGAGATCCAGTGGCGCCGCTTCTACCGCCTCCTCATTGAGCTCGACAAACAGCGCAGCGAGGCCCTCGCGCTTGCCCTCGACCCGGACCTGGGCCTGGCCTGGGTTGTGTGCACCGACTGTTTGGCTGCCGCCCGTGAGTGCAGCGGCCTTGAGCTCGTCTACCACAACGCTCCATCGAGCCAGTCCTCATCCATCTTTGGTGGCCGGGGCAGCGGCAGCGGCGGCCTCCACCGCAGCAGAAGCGGAAGCGGAAGCAACAATGCCAACTCCGAAAAGGTCAGCCGTCTACTGTCTGCGGGTGCCTCGTTTGTGGATAGCTTCTCCGACGGCATGCTGCAGACATGCGAGGCTGCTCTGCGTGCGGAGCTGTTTGACGACGCCTCGTCCAAGACGGACGAGGAGCGCATCCAGTCGCTCGGCGACAAGGCCGGCTTCTGGCGGCATCTGACCGAGGACGAGTGCGCGCAGGTCATTGACATTCTCGGCGACAACTTTGAGCTCGTCGACGAGACCACCTACCGGACGCTCTTCTCTTTGTTCGACGATGTTGTCCAGCAGCAGTTGCAGGGCGGCCATGACGTGCGCTACCCTTTTACGCAGTTTGGCCTGAAGCTTGTCGTGCGTGGCATCCAGGACACCGCCGAGCTGTTCTGGCAGATCCTGTTCCGCCAGCTGATCCTGCTGGTGCACATGGAGTTTGAGCTCGAGGACGAACGCGTCGCGTTGCACAGCCGCATCGATGTGGGCCAGGTGTACTCGCGCCTGATCGACGCCCTTAAGCGCCTTGAGCTCGTCAAGTGGCTGTCGCGGACCGACTTCAGCGTCGCCCTGAAGCGCGCCGAGCGTGAGTCGCTGTCCGGTTCCTTTTCTGGCGGCTCGTTCTCGACGGCAGCAGGAGGCTCGTTCACTGCCGGCTCGGCAGCCGGGTCAACAGGCGGAGCGTCCAATGCAGTCGCCTCTGATGAGAACGCAACTCAAGTTATTACGGTGCTTGGCGGCAGCGTTGGCCATCTGCTGGGCCTCGGCGAGCAGGCCGGCAGTGTTCCACTGTCCTCGCTTCTGACCGACATTGTCGTCGACGTCTGCTCGGCCCGCAGCACGATTGAGCTCGATCCGGCCATGATCCAGTGCATGCTTCTCAAGCGCGGCCGCCCCGATCTCTCCCTGCAGCTCAGCGCTTTCGCCACCGACGACCCCTTCTCAACCTATGTGCAGGGCCGCACGTTCCTGGCGCTGCGCAACTACGACACTGCTGCGCTCTATTTCCAAAAGGCGGCCGTTGGCCTCAGCACCGTGGTCCGCCATCCGCTGCGCCACAGCGCCGGCCTGATCGACGACTCCGAGTGGAACCTGTTCTACAGCGGCCTGCCCAACTACTACGCCCACATCGTGTCCTTGTACGACCGGCAAAAGGCCTATGCCTACGTCATCGACTTTTCCCGCCTGTCGCTGCAGTTTGTGCGCAGCAAGGCCAACAGCCTCAGTGCCAGAATCATCAACACTGGAAGCAACGGCAGCAACGGCAGCCAGCAGGCCAAGGGCGGCAGTAAAGCCGACAGCCGACATGGAAGCTTCGGCGCCAACGACCCGGCCGCCGAGGCCGCCGTCTTGTCGTCCACGCGCACCGAGATGCTCAGCCGCCTGTTCACAGCGGCCACGGCCCTGTCGCGCTTCGACACCGCACACAGTGCGCTCCTGTCTATGGGCCAGCCTTTCTTACCACTGCCTTCCTCGTCCTCTTCCTCTTCTTCATCGCCAACGCCTTCAACCGGCACCGGCGCTGCCGCACTCCAGCGCTCCGGCCTGCGCTACCTTGTCGAAAAGATGTGCGAGACGGGCCAGGTTGCGGCCCTGCTGGCCCTCCCCTTCCCTGGTGGTCTGCGCGATACCGTCGACGATGTTCTCGAGCAAAAGTGCCGCGCCGCCATGGAGGTCATCCGCGGCACGCCGTGGCACCATGTGCTCTACAGCTGGCGCGTCGCGCACAACGACTACCGCGGCGCCGCCAGCGTGTTGCTCGACCAGCTGCACAAGCTGCAGCAAGCCGGCGAAGGCGACAAGTTCTTGGCGACGGCGTCTTCTGCTGCCGCTGACGCCGGCGGAAGCGACGACATCCTCGACACGCCCGTGACGCGCCAGTACCTCAAGCTGATCAACACGTTGAGCTGTGTCGACCCCAAACAGGCGTGGATCTACACAGAGGACCCGCTGGCCCAGGCGTCGTCCGCCGGCAACAATGCTAGTGCGCCGCATGACACGGCCATTCCCAGCGTGGAGACGTCCTCCAGCGACAACCTCGCGGGTACACAGGCGACGGAAGCCGAGACACAGTCCGCCTCGCAGGCATCAGCAGCAGCATCAGGACCTGCATCAGCGCCAGCATCCGCTGCAGCTAAGAAGAGCGACAGCAATCCCATGGCATCGTTCCTCCAAAAAGCCGCTGCCGCGCAACGGCCACCGTGGCGCAAGGTGGTCACACTGGCCGACCTGCGCAAGCAGTACCAGGCCGAGTTGGACCGCATCGCGGCGATCCAGAACAACCAGTTTGCTTTTGGAAGCGGCGGTGGTGGTGGCGACGGCGAAGACATCACCATGGACGACTCATAACGTAATCAAGTGCGTGCATGAGAGAAGGAGCGGGCTGAGCGTGCTTTGGGTTTACAAAGTATAAAAAGGGGGTCTCTAGGGCTCAGGATGGCGTTGGGATTTTTTCCTTTGATATAGTCTCTGTCTGTTTTTTTTTTTCTTTTCTTTCAATTCATTGTTTGATGTTCTGTTCTTGCCATACTTTGCAATACAGATGCTCTGCTTTTGTTTCTCTTCTGTTTGTTCATGTAATTGTATTACAATGACGGCATAGCGCACTGTTCTCAGAGATACATACGCACGCACGTCGCCGATGCCTACATATCACAACAAGTCCAAGTGTAAAAACTAGCGATTGTATTGTATACACTTGCGCTGAAGAACCTAAAGGCGACAAGATAAATGCTGTAGAAGAAAACGAAAGACCTAACAAAAGCTACAAAACACGGTCGCAGGTAGTAATTTCATGACATGTAAAAAGCGACTGGCCAGCTTTTCACACTCCCTCATCCTCAAAGCTACTTTCTCGTGGACACGCCGCCTCTTCGCAACTATGCAGGGGGCGGAAGCGCCACGGCGGCCTTGTTCTCTGGCGGCGGGGCATGTATTGCGGACGGCGCGGCCGCCTCGGCGATGGCGATCTCGGGCGCCTGCCGGTACAGAATGATCTCCGACTGCTTAAAGTATCTCCGGGCGTCTTCGTCGATAAGCACCAGACTCAGGTAGTACCGCGTCGAGAACTTCTTGTTGACGTCCCGGAACGTGGGTGTGAGGTCGAAGCCGCCGAGGAAGAGGCGGATGGGGATGGTCTCGCCACGCGAGGGCGAGCCGTCCATGATCTAGTCGGTCAGCGGTATATTCCCAAGCGTACAGTATCACGACAAACATATCAACGGCGATGGACGCACCTCGAAGCGCACAAGCGTCTCGCTCTCGTTGTACTGGTTCGGGGCAGCACCGGTTGTCTCGCGCCGGATGATCGACAGCTCCATGTGTTTGATCTTGAGCCGCACCAGCAAAAAGTAGATGCGGCCGACAATCACATCCTTAAGGTGGTACTTGGACTTGCTGTACTCAAATTCAATGTGCAAGCAGTCCTCAATACCGACATCCATCTTGATGGGCGAGTTCATCTCCGGCGGGATGCGGTAGCTGTACACCCATATGTCCTTTTCGCGGATCACGTCGGCCATGCGCCGCGAGACCGTCACGCGCACAAAGTACCGCAGCTTGACGTTGATGCCGTTGTACGACTCGTACTGCTTCTCGACGTTTTTGAAGTTGAAATCGAAGGTCTGCGGGTGCTGCAGTTCGCCCGGCGCCGCCAGCTCCTGCACGAGCGACAGGAACTCGTAGTGGTTGCCGCGATCAAAGAACATTTCTGACAATCAGCGGGGGGGTGTCCTTTCTTTATTCTCTAAAACAAGAGGCACGGGGACATGAGGCCTTGGACCTACCGATTGTGCCAATAAACTGCACCTTGATGCCCGTGTGCTCAAGACGCTTGCCGTCCTTTGGCCGCACAGTCACGGCACCCTTGACGGACTCGCCATCCATGTACAGCGGTGCCTTCTCGCGGCGGTTCTTTTCCAACCGCACGTCCACCATGGACCGATCATCGCTGTTCTCGAGGACAACGTCAATGTCCACAGGGGTCGAGAAGAAGTACGCCATTGTGGCAGTGGAGGAAGCAAAAAAGGGGGCCGCAGTCTGGCCTTGGTATCATTCAGAAAGAGACGTCGAACAGGAAAACGCCTGGATGCTTTGCCCGTGCCGTTGAGGCAATTCGTCGATGGTGACGTCGATGGTTTGTGTTTGGTGATTCTTCGTCGATGGTGGCGGGAAGCGTGAGGGACTTGTGACTGCCGGTGATGATTCGTCTCACCAATTGCTTCGCGAGCTTCGTGTTTGGGTCATAAATGCACGTTATCGAGTGGTCTGGCGTTGTTGCGTTGTGGCGCCGTCAAAGTCGTTCGTTTGTGGAATCAAGAAAACGTCGCCAAGGGGGACGGTGACGAACCGCTGCAGTCGGCTGTGAGGTCCGCCTGCATGGGCTGCTATGGCGCTAGTAAATGCAGCTGCCTTGTCCGCAAGCTGAGCTAGCCTTGCACATGACATATCAGGTGCTGGCAAAACACAAGGCTGGGGAGCACTGGTGGAGATTGGGTAGACCCGCTTCCCAACCACCTAAACCCCACCTTTTGAGCTGACCCTCATTTCTTATCGCCGATAATGGTCACGTGCAAATCGGCACCACAGCCCTAGTTGGTGAGGTTGGACTGCTCCTTGGACAGTGGGGCGTTAGTCTCTCGGAATAACTTTTTTCACGCTGCCCATATTCTGTACCCATATTGCGCACAGCGCAAAGAAGGGAGGGGACCCAGCAAAAAATTCGAAAATCTTAGTGGGAAAGTGTGCGAGGGCTACACCCGTTTCCGGCCAGCCCGTACCTGAAGAAAAAAATTAGAACCAAGGGAAAATCGCTTTGCAGGCTCACGACTTTTTCGCACGTCTCCCCCATCTTCCATCTTCATCACCCAACGTCACTTCACACCACACGCGGCCAACCCCCCGACCGACGATTCAAGATGAAGTACATTCACTCTGAGGAGACTCTGGAGATTCCGGAGGGAGGTACGATTTACCATGGGAGACAATCCTGTTTCTTTTGACGCCGGTGTCTTCTTTGAACAAATGACCGCTTCGGATGCGCAACCGCGACTCGACGGCCCGACCGACCGACAACGACAAGGGGAATAGCAAGGCAAAAGGCTTCGACAGCAAAGGACGGCTTCGACCGACTCAAAATCATGGACAACAACTTCTTGACGGCGTTGGTGGCTGCGTCCACCTCCAAATCGGACTCGGCTACAAAAGTGCGGACGGGCCACGGATTGAGAAGGGAAGGAAGGAAGTGCTCTTCGGATTCGTGGTCCAGGTAGCCTTTGCAGCGGCAGACGAGGCGGAGACGGGACGTCAACGCCGCTACGACCAATTATGTTTACCGGCAATACGTTCTTCGACGGGCAGAACGACAAGAGCTTCGTCAGACAAGGACGACGACTCGTCTCTGTCTGTTTGATGGGAACCTGCGACCGCAACGAGAACAACTACGACGACCAAATGCCTACCTTGCCTACCCTTTTCGTTGTCGATCAGCCCGGGATCGCGTGCGCCCGAAGCGATTGTTTTTTTGAGGACGACGCGAGGTGGAATGTTATTTCATTTTTTTCTCGCAACGTGCATGCTGACTATATTTGCGTTACAGTCAAGGTCCATATCAAGTCCAGACTCGTTACCGTTGAGGGCCCCAGAGGAAAGCTCACCAAGAACCTGAGCCACGTCGCCGTCAACTTCTCCCTGCCGAAGAAGAACGTCATCCAGATCGAGATCCACCACGGCAACCGCAAGAATGTCGCTACCCTGCGCACCGTCCGGACGCTGATCAACAACCTGATCATTGGTGTCACCAAGGGCTACAAGTACAAGATGCGCTACGTGTACGCCCATTTCCCCATCAACGTCAACGTGGACAAGAACAACGAGACGGGCCTGTTCGAGGTCGAGATCCGCAACTTCATCGGCGAGAAGATTGTGCGGCGGGTGGTGATGCAGGCGGGCGTCGATGTCGAGATCTCCAAGGCGCAGAAGGACGAGCTGATCCTGACGGGCAACTCCCTCGAGGCGGTCTCCCAGAGCGCAGCAGACATCCAGCAGATCTGCAAGGTCCGGAACAAGGACATCCGGAAGTTCCTGGACGGTCTGTACGTCTCGGAGAAGGGCAACATTGAGGAGGAGGCGTAACGAAATTTTGGTTGTTTCCTATATCGATCTATGATTTCAGTGACGTTGTACCAAACGGCTTCTTTTTCTCGGTTTGCGGTTTTGTTTTCACAGCACGGGACACATGGAAAAAAAAGGCGAATGGGTGGAGAGGGGGCAGTTGGCAGTGTGTGTGTGAGGTGAACAGAGCAGGCTCGATCTACATACAGATATGGGCTACTCGACCCTCTACGCATCATTTGACGGGTGGTTTTGCCCAGCACCAAAACAAAAACTACCCTCTCGACAAAAAATAAAAAAATGCTTCTTATTATTTTGCATCTATCACATGTGTCCGAGCACTCCTCGTCTGTAATTTACGTTTGAGATGAAATCAGAAAGATTATAACAATCTTGAGACCGGCGCCAAGCGGAACGTATCCATATCTAATACAATTCGATAAACATCAAGACCTACTTTTTTGCAATATGTGGACGGTATTTACGATAACCACGACGAGAAGAGCCTCGGAAGGGACTCAAATCAGTACAGGCAAGTACGCGACGCAGATCAAGTCCAGATAGTGGTCATTTTGATATTAGCTTTATTTATAATATGAATATACATCGTCGTAGATTGCCGTCGAAAAACTTCCAAGTCTGCATTGGTATCGATCGTGTTCGCCGCGTCCTTTTCGTTCTTTCATTTTCATACCCGTGTCTCTTCCCTTTCTTTCCCCTTCATCCCTTCTCATATCATGCTCGTTAATGCAACCGTCCAAAACGCCGTCGCAATGAAGAAAAATGCAAAGATTCAGACTTAAATACAAAATCGTCCCTTTTTGGACAATGTAAAATATGTTCAAGGAAAAATACAGTGGCGAGTGTCTGGTTCTCCGATTCCGTCTTCATTGGCTCGGAACAGAATTTCATCTACATCCGAGACGGTGCACGAGACGCACGCGGCGTCCGGGATGGACGGGACGACCGTGACACCCGCGTGGGATCACTACGCCGACTGGCTCGTGTGCCCCTTGACCGCCTTGAGTTTTGGCTGCTCGGAATGGTCGCCGTGTACGACGAGGCGCTGTAGTAGCCGCTGCGTATGTCACTGCGCGACCGCGCCGGGCGGCGGCGTTCCTCCTTCTTGTGGTCGTTGTGGCGCTTGAGGCCGAGGAGGAGCAGGAGCGTGCCAGCAGCAGCACCAAGGCCAAGCCAGCGGCGGTTGTGGCTCTTCTTCTCGCTCATGGGCGGCGGCGACGGACGTCCGCCACCACCGTACCAGCTGCTGTGCTGACGACCACCGCTGCCGTGACGCCCGTAGCGCTCCTCCTCGATGATGGTCACGTTCTCCTCGCGGTCGTGGCGCTTCGGACCAAGGCCCAGGAGGGCCATGAGGCCGTGCCAGAGACCGCGGACGAGCACGCACGCGCAGACGGCAATGAGCAGGGCAATGCCCGCCAGCGTGCCAATGACAATGCCGGCAATGGCGCCGCCAGACAAATGGTTCGACGAAGTGGTCGACGTAACGCCGTCACCGGTGCCGGCGGCACCGATCGCGGTGCCCGTGGTTGTGCCGGAACCCGACGTGGCCTTGTAGGGCGGATTGTAAGGCGTTGTGAAGGTCGCGCCATTGCTGGTGTAGGTCGTATAGTGCGTCGGTGTCGGAGTCGGGGCAGCAAAGTTGGTCGTCGTGCCGCCGGCACCGCCACCGCCGGAGCCCGGATTGTCCAGGCACTGGCCGTTATATGGGCAGTACTGCCAGCTGCCGCAGCACACGCTGCCACATGGAATTTGTCCAGAGCCAGCAACAGGGGTGCAGATACCGCCCGTGGCCATGGCTGGCGAGTCGGAGGTGTAGGTGCTCGTATACGTCTGCGTTTCGGTCCAGGTGGTGGTGTAGAGTTCGTAGGCGGCAACGATGATGTTTATCCGCTCTTTCTCAATTTCTTTCGAAAGATCTCGCCGGGGGTCTTGCGACACCTCGGGTATTGGCAGCGCAGACGTTGATGTGAGGAGGAGGAGGAGAGGTAGAAGTTTGGCGGCGGACGGTAGGCTTGCTGAAGCCCCCCGCCGGAGGTTGTTGTAAAGTTCACAGAACATTGTGACAAGTGTATGTAAGAGACACGAGACAAGAGGCAAAAGACTGCCGATCAGCTCCGCCGCTGAGCTGGGCAACTTGGGTGTGTTTTGTGTGAGCAGCAGGCGGCTTCGTGGTGACTGGAATGTGAAGGCGGTCGAGAAGTGGGGTGGAGAGCGAGCTGGTGACGGTGTAACTGGAGGGTCGAACCACGTTCCGGACGAGACAATCCTCTGGAATGCGGAAAGAAAGCTTAATTCGACAGAAGCCAGATCGGCGCGAAAGGTCTGCAATGTCGACACCTCGATTTCTCCAGAAGGGATTGGAGTATGTTGTATTCAAAAAAAAGTGAATTTGTCTCCAAATCGTCAGGCGGAAATGTCGTCAGCGGACCAGGGTCGGGTGTCGATGCGGAGGGGAAGTCGTGAAAGATGAGAATGCAACGACGGATACACAAGATGCACGATAAAAAGAGAGAGTGCGAGAAAAACAAAGAGGGAGGCAGAGAGTTGAAAGCAGATCAAAGAAAAGGAGAGAGGAAGCAAGTATTTTGGAATGCAAGTGGCATCCTGCGTCGACTTAAGAGGCAGGATGCATGCACTCTAACATGCGTGCCGCGCCGGCAGGCAGGTGCAAATCGGCCAAGACGAGTGAGCAAAAAAATATTAAAAATGGCTGGGAGGAAGGACCCGAAGGCGGGCAGTGGGTGTTGTAAGTGGTCACAGTGGAGAGAGGCCAGAAGCAAACATGGCAGACAGGGGAGTGGGTGCTGTTTAATGGTGGGCATTGGGCGACTTTGGCTCCATCGAACACGACACAGCGCTGCAAAATTACAGGGGTATGGCCTGGAAAAAGACGCCTCTCATTTCCCCCAACCTCCTTCCCGCTGCGCCAAAGCCAGCCAGCCAGCCTCTCGCATTTTTACAGGGGCAAAGAGGGGCGGCAGCCTCGTCATCGTGAGGAAGGTGCGATGCCGTTGCCATCCCGCCAGATCGTTGACAAGCATCGATCTTGGTAGTCGAAAAGAAGCCAGACGACCAGTATGGTTCTAAATTCTTTTGCACCCCTTCTCCTCTGCAGTGTCTCATCTATCGTGGATGAACTATCGTATGCTTGGTTCGCCGTTCTCGTCCCCAATGTCACAGCCAAGGCAGTGAATACGACGCCCAGACGTCCGTTCTCGGTCGGCGAGACTTTTGGGCCCCAACATACGGGCGTCTCGGGCACTGCCAACGCACAGTACGGTGATAACAGGCCAGACCAATCAGACAGACGCAGACGCCCAACTCGTCCGTGGTGGTGGTGCAGGCCATGCAAGTGCAGCCAGTGTTGTTTACTTGTTTTATGCCTCTTCGGGAAGCCCCGCTGCTAACGGGACGACAATCGATTAGTAGACGGGATCACGTGACTATGGACTGGCGGCAAATGCACTGTCAAAGCTCTCCAGCGTGAACCGTTTGGTCTTGGTTGCGGCTTTGGCATTTCTATCCGATAACCTACTTGTGCTTCGCATGTCCTCACGATTTCCACGTACGACCAAGGGCGCTGACACGCTCGGGATCTCGTCCGTTCCCCCCTCGGATTAGTAGTTGGGCCAGCGACGGCCAGCGAACGAGCGAACGCCCGGTGTAGTCCGTTTCCTTTTTTGGCTCTAGTTCAGTGTTGTATTTCTGTTTTACATATTTCGTATGTTGTATACATTCAAAAGCTTACGAAAGGAATCAACGAAAGCCTCCTATCAGGTTCCGTTGTCTTGATGTTTTTTACCTCGTTCGCTCTTTCAATCGCATCTTCTTATCTTATCGCACCAGCCTCTTTCCGTTTTGGTGGCGGTGTTGGACGCGGCATTTTGTGGCCCAAGCTTTGGGGGAGCTTAGCGGGGCGTGAAAGTCATTGGCGGTAGCGGAGCACCTAACCTTCTCTAGCGTGCAGTGCTGTACTTCAGTACCAAGGAAGCACTGCATTCGTAGCAGCAGACCTTCTTGACACCATCGTCACCAGGCACCGACTATCACCAGCCAGAAGCTCTCAGCGCCTCGACATCCCGACTACCACCAGACGCACAGGCCGTAACGAAGGCTCTTTTATTGCAGCATCGGCTGTTGGTCATTGGTGCATTGATTGCGACGACGCCGCCATCGAGCACCGGTCTCTCTCGGCTCGAAAAACGATCTCGATCTTGACTCTCGATTCTTCCCGGCACTCTTCCTCTCCTCCACGCCTCCATCTCCCTTCCACCCTCCTCTCGCCACAATGTCTGTCGACCCGCCGACCTACCTGACGGCGCTGCAGAACAACATCCGCACACGGCCAATCCCATGGGATGGCGCGGTGAGAGCCGGCACCGTGCTGGAGTGGCAGCTGACCAAGATCCGGGCCGTCGACAAGGTCAAGAAGGACGTCCGCAAGCAGGCCATCGAGAGCGACCTTGACGGCTACCGGATACTGTTTTCTGGCGGCGCTGGCAAGGACGAGCCCAGCGTCCTGCAGTCCGCGGCACGGCGCACCGACGTGGTGCAATACATCCTGGTGCTGCTCAACGATTTACTGGAAGCCATTCCGTCACTGGCCCGGGCCATTCTGGCGCCCGCACAGAGACAACGGGGCGCACAGGACACACAGTCGAGCAGAGCCGACGACCCATTTCGCCACATTCTGCCGCTGCTCGCCCACTCCAACAACGCCGACGACCCGATCCCGCTGCTGACGGCCACCGTGCTGACGACGCTGCTCGCCAACGCACGCGACGAGTCCCCGGCGACGCTGGAGCGCGCGCTGCCGGCGCTGCTGAGCTACCTGTCGACGCTGGCGCAGCAGAGCGCCGACGCGGGCCTGCAAGACATTGGCGTGCTCGAGTCGTCGTCGCTGCTGTATGGGCGGGCGACGCGCAAGCAGTTCTGGGCGCAGCGCAGCGAGACAGTCGCGCCGCTGATTACGATTTTGCGGACGGCAGCCGGGGTGAGCACGAGCGGCGGCGAGGACACGGCGGCGGGCCTGTGGCGTGCCACGGGCGGCGGCCCCAACGGCGGCGCGGCCGCCAGCAGCGACGCCGTGGCCAGCCGCTTTGGCGCGCTGCTCGAGGGCTCGATCGGCGGCGGTGTGGGCCTGCAGCTGCTGTACCATGTCCTGCTGGTGCTGTGGCAGCTGTCGTTTGACGCTGCCGACATTGGCGACGACCTGAACGAGTAGGTGCCGCCTGGCGACTTGTTCCTCTTTCTTTCCACTTTCTCTTTCTCTTTCCTACTTGTCACTAACCGTACAGGGAATACGACTTTGTGCTGCTGGCGACACAGCTGCTGCGGCTGTCGCCCAAGGAAAAGACGACGCGGCTGCTCGTGGCCACGCTGCTCAACCTGTTGTCGGCCAACCGCGCGACGCTGCTGCCGACGGCCGTGCTCGCGCGCCTGCCCGCCCTGCTCAAGAACGTGGCCGGCCGCCAGCACGCCGACACGGACCTGCAGGACGACCTGCAGCAGCTGCGCGACCTGCTCGACGAGTACACGGCCACCAAGACGACCTTTGACGAGTACGTCGCCGAGGTCAACACGGGCCACCTGCGCTGGTCGCCGCCGCACCGCAGCACCGTCTTCTGGGCCGAGAACGCGCGCCGCATCCTCGACGAGGACAACGGCGCCATCCCGCGCAAGCTGGCCGACATCATGGCCAAGCCGTGGGACAACGACAAGGCCGTGCTGGCGATTGCGTGCAACGACATTGGCGCGCTGGTGCGCGAGGTGCCGGAGCGGCGCAGCACGCTGGAGAAGCTGGGCCTGAAGACGCGCGTGATGCAGCTGATGGGCGAGGCGGACGAGTCGGTGCGCTGGGAGAGTCTGCAGGCGCTGGGCGGCTGGCTCAAGTACAGCTTCGAGACGAAGTAGGGCGGGTTGCCTGATGGCAAGGTCGGCTCACCGTCTTTGTGTTGTTATGGTTTGCTGTCTGGTCTCGTCTTGCTTGTCTCTCTTTTCTGCCTGTTTTCCTTTCTTGTTCGTCTACTATTGCATCCTGTAGTTTTGTTACTTCTTGGGCGACTTCCAGCAGTCGATACTGTGACGCCCTTTTCTGTTTTATTTTCTGAACTTCCTTCATTGTTGTTGCATCTCATAGAATCAGTCACACTACAGTTTTGCATCTTGGCATCTAATTCTTTTGGATTCTCTATATCCTTTCTCTATATTCTGTTTTCAAATTCGGTTCGGGACGAAAGCCCTTATGTACAGACAGGTCTCTCTTCGACCACGCCTACTTTGTGCTGCGAAGACCCTTGCCGTTGATAAACACCGACGCAACCACAGCAAGCAGGGCCACAATCGCCGACGCGGCAAACGAGTACTGCAGGCCCTCGTAGTAGACGTGCCGCGCCTTGAGCTGCAGGTCGGCCGGCAGCTCGAGCAGGTACGACACCGAGTGGCGCAGCTCGTCGACGACACGCGCCAGCTCGTCCCCGTCCTGGATCGTGTCCGCCAGCACCTGCGGCAGGCGCAGGCTCAGCGTCGTCTGCAGGACGGCCGACGTAATGGCCACGCCCCAGACCATGCCCAGCGACCGGACCAGGTACACCGACGACGCGACGACGGCGTGGTCGTTGTGCTCAAACGTCGCCAGCGACGTGAAGAGGATGCCCGGGAACACGATGCCCTGGCCGAGGTTGGCCGGGAAGATGTACACCAAATACTTCCAGGCAGCGACGCCCTCGAACCCGAGCGACGCCACGAGGCCGTTGCCGAGGACCATGAAGGCGGCGCCGACGCGGACGAGCGTGGTCAGGCGGCCCCAGCGCGACATGACGACGCCGGCCACGAGGCCGCCAATGGGCGAGGCCAGCGAGGGGATGGCAAGGCGGGCGCCGGCCTTGGTGGCGGAGTCGCGCAGGACGACCTGGAAGAAGAGCGGCAGCGTGAAGAGGTAGGCATAGGCGGCGAAGCCGACGCAGACGTTGGCGGTCTCGGTGGCCAGCGGCAGACGGCCGCGGAGCATGCGCAGCGGAATGATGGGCGCCACGGCGGGTCGGCCGTCGGCGTCGGCGTCGGCGTCGGCGTTGGCGTCGGTCGCGCGCTCGCGGCGGCCTTCCACGCGGAGGAACAGCGCCAGCAGCACGACGCTGCCGACGAGGCACAGCCAGACCCAGGGACTGCTCCAGGGCAGCTCGTTGCCGCCCAGGCTGAGACCGACAAGCTGCACGGACACGCCCACGATGAGCAGCAGCGCGCCCGTGACGTCGATGCGGGCCCACGTGCGACGGAACGAGCGGTCGCCCATCATCATGTGGGCCGGGTTCTGGACTACGCGCAGGCCCAGGACAAAGACGGCCAGCGACACGGGCACCTGCGCGGCAAAGCACCAGCGCCAGCCGATGGTGTCCGTGATGGAGCCGCCAAAGGACGCGCCGCAGATGGCGCCGAAGCCGTAGACGCCGTTCTGCATCGCCTGGTACATGCCGCGGCGCCGGAACGGGATCATGTCCGAGTTGACAATGGTCGCCATGGTCATGAGCCCGCCGCCGCCGAGACCGGCCAGGGCGCGCATGCTGTTGAGGACGACAATGCTGGGCGCCAGGGCGCAGCCGGCACAGCCCAGGGCAAAGGCGGCCGTCGACAGCAGGAAGCACACGCGGCGGCCCACGAGGTCGGACACGCGGCCGTACAGCGGCTGAAACGCAGTGCTGGTGACGAGGTACGACGTGGTCAGCCAGGAGGCGGCGTTGGCGGCGCCAAAGTCGGAGCTGATGACGGCGTAGGTGGAGGCGGTAATGGTGCCGTCGAAGCCGGAGAGAAAGACGTTGGCCATGATGGCGATCTGGATCCAGATGAAGCCCGGCGGTGGTGACCAGCTGTCGTCGGCGGAGGTTGTGGCGGTAGAGGGACCAAGCGGTACGGTGCCCAGCTCCGCCGCTATGTCGAGCTCGAGGTCGCTGTCATCGTCGCCGTCGTCGTCGTCGTTATTGTCTTTGCCCAGTAACCGTTCGTGTTCGACCGAGCCGGAACCGTGCCCTGGTCGATCGTCCCAGTAATGTAGTTGGTCTTCAGCACCGCCATCTCCTCCATTCGTCTCCGGAGTCAAGGTCTGCATCTTGGTGGTTGTTGGTGGTATGTCCACGTCGACTTGTGGAACAGCCGAATTTCGGCGCGGGCGCGGTGTCGTAATTAAGGACGCCATCGTGGGGGTAGGGGAGAGTGGGGAGGTCAACGAGGTTCCGGAGTATGTGGAAATGCGGGAGGGTATTGATTAAACAATAATGGGAATAAATGAGCAACATGAACTGTCCATGTTTTTTTGTATTTGTTTATTTAATTTTTATTTTTATTTTTTTAAAAGAAAACTGAAAACGAGAGACAAAATGTGTAAAATGAAGACAAAATAAATAAAATCGGAAAGGCGAGTCATACGGCGGCGGGATTGTCCTACATGACATATGTCTCGTCGAAATGCAACTCAAAAAACGGTGGCAACGAACATCATTTCTATTCGTAAATGAGTTGTATTGCAGAGAAAAAAATCTGGCAGCTAATTATCCAACCGACGCCGCTGTACGAATGTAGTGCCGTCTTGCTCAGTAACATGAACCCTGTAAACGCCGTTCATATGCTTGGCGTAAGAATCGAGATCCTTAGTTTAGTGACGGAATCTGTCATGGCTGCAGCCGTTAGAGAGACTGTTGGTGGACTTTGCTATAACTGTCGCTTGATGGGAGAATTGTTGCTGCAAATGGCATCATTTATGGCCGGCAATGTGGAGAGCAGAAATAGAGTCGGGACGAAACGTGGACGGGAAGTGGAATATCATTAGACTTTCGCAAGCCAAAAGACTGTCTTTTCATCTGGAGATCGGCCGAGATACACGACAAAAAACAGCAGTCGCCGGTGACAGTGTAGCCGCAGGAAACAAAACACAACGTTGAAGTATTTTTAATAATAAGCTTTATTTTATTAGGAACACACATATATTCTTTTGTCCCGGACATAATACATTACCATCCATACCCCCCAAACAATAATCATAGACACATCAAGGGATCAAGGCATGTCAGAGAAAAGACGGACCCATTCCCTTGCCAAAAGTCCAAACGCCAACTGCCGTGGAAACAATACAAGAAAAAACAAAAGTCCACAAGCTTCAGAGGTCGTGCTGTAGGACAATAAACAGAAATTAAAGTTGAAAAGACGCTATCCGGTAGACGCTCCCGAGATAGCATTATTAACGAAATGTAGTCGAAGCATGTGTATACAGGGAACATTAGACTCGTCGACGAAAGCAGCTGACGGGTGCCGTGGAGGACCGCCATCTATTGCGCCTCTTGTGGCTCGGCTGCGACGGCGGCCAACGGCCGGCTCGTGTTCCGGTCCATCGGTGTCAGCTCGGCGCCCTGGCCGCTCGGGGCCCGTTTCCGACCCAACGGGGCATTGCCGCCCTCGGCTGTGTGGTCGCTGCCAAACTTGGAAAAGAAGGCGCCCCGTTTGCGGATGAAGTTGGAGGCGACACTGCCCGCGGTCGTGGGTGTCGCGTGGCTGGCCGTCGTCTGGGCATGGGCCTGCCCTTGCCGGCCGTCGTCGAGGCCGACCTCCTCGAAGCCTTCGTCAGCGGGTGGGAAGCGATGGTCGTTGGCGAGGCGCGACGGCCGTGCGTAGGCGTTGGCGTTGGCGTTGGCAATGCCGACGCTGCCGGGGCTGAGGTTCCTGCGAAACGTCGACGAGTCCAGGCTTTGCCGTCCGGCGGCACTGCTGCCCCACTCGTTGGCCGCCACGACGGGCGACTTGGCCGAGATGTCAAAGGACCGGCGGTACGAGTCAAACGACTCGCGCGAGATGGAAAAGGGCTCAATGTCACCGAGGCTGCTGCGGCCGCCGGCTGTCGGGCTGTTTCCATTGTTGTTGTTGCTGCTGTGGTTGTCTGTAGACGACCGAGACAGCGACGACAGGGATGTGATGTAGGTGCGGCGGTGGCCGTTACCGTGGCCGTGTGCGCCCGATGTCGACCAAAAGGCGTCGCGCTCCGAGGTCGGCGACGGCGGTAGGTAGACGCCGCTGTCGTTGACGACTGGGCTTGTTAGTAGTCGGACTGCAAACAAGAGGATACGTCAAGAAGACCAGGTGGCGGGGCCTACCACTCATTTTGTAATCGCCTGTGTCTTGGCTGCGGCGGCTGCGCATGCTTGTCGACGACGAGGCCATGGACCCGACGGTGTCGACGCGCTCAAAGGACGGCTGCTTCGGGAGGTCGCCAACGGCGCTGACGTCGGCCGAGCCGGGACGCAGAGCCGGCTCGTCGGCGGCCGTGCGCCTTGCAAAGGGATTGCGGATCGGCATTGTGCGAAGATGCGAGGATGCGAGGATGCGAGGATGCAATGGTGCGGATGCGCGGATGTGATGATGTGATGATGTGATGATGTTCGACGCAAGACGGACCAAGAGATTGTAAATATGGGACGTCCGATCGGATGTTGAGGGAATTGAAGCTGGGGATGTACAGGACAAAGTCGAGGAATGGTAGAACGCTCGAACGTGCGAAAAAACGAGAATGAGACAGAAATAAAGAGAACAGAAAACCAAAACCAGATCTGCTCGCTCGTATGGTCTGGCGGCACACGATGCGGCCGTCAGTTTGCGGTAGCAAGAATTCCTCATACCTCACAAAGAGGGTACTTTCTCTCCGATGGGTCCACCGACGTCAGACGACAGGGACGGGGGAAGGAGCACAAAGAGGGGCACGCCTAGTTGCCGAAGACGGAAAGACCTGCAAGCCTCTACCCACTCAAAAGTACAACAGTATGTCGTATTGCAACACTTACATCGAGATTTCCGGGCTAAATTCATAGCAGGTCTTTTTACAGACGCTGTCAGGTTTTTTCTCAACTAACCAATGCACACAGCCTCACAGCCTCGGATTATCTGAACAGGGTGTGGAATCGGAAATTGTGCATTGTGAATCGTCTAGTCTCTCAACAGAGAAGGAACGGGTTTGAACTTGAACCCGTTCCTGTTTAAACCGGCAGCAGATGCAATCGAGGAAGGAGCCCGCCAGTCGCTGCCCCCGATCTCCCACCCTTTCCTCCTCAAGCGGGCCTCTTGAGGAAGCTGCTGCCCGCTGGACATGGCAGCGATCATCGTCGTTGCCACTCTGAACGCCCAATCTGGCCATTGCGTTGGCAGCGCCTGCCCGCCAACAACCACATTCCAGTCGGGAAACAGGAGACGGCCCACAATTACTAAGACGGCGCGGGCGGCACGTTACGTCAACAAGTCAATCTCGACGCCCATATCTCTGTGTCTTGCCACGCATTTCGACCTTACGAATATGCTCGAGGCATGCAGGTTGCGCAAACCGTAAAACACGGCTGCACATGCTCGTGCCTCCCGCGCTGTCTGCTTCTGTTCGTTCTGTTTCTGAGAGCTGGCTGAAACCCCGCCGAGTCAAACAATACGACGTGCTGTCAAGACACGACTTTCTATTGCCTCCCGTCCGGCGGTGCGTCCTCGTCCCGACCAATGGCTAGCCGGCGCTTTCGTGCATACAGCAAAAGCCCCCCAGGAGGTCGAATTGGTCGAATTGAGCCAATGTCTTGCTCAATGCCCTTGCTGTCCCCATCTCGACTGCATAACGAGATGAGATAACATGGGCGTTGTGGGAAGCCACTGGAAATAAGTCTCATTTTGGGCGTCTATTTGATGTCGATTGTCTGATAGCGCATGACGATATAGCTGTTGGGTCCAGGAACGGGAACGGGGACATCCACAGAAAGCCAACAAGATGCCGGGCACCCATCCAGTTGGCGCTTGCAGCCTCATGCGAACGACGGCGCCGTCATCGAGACAGCGCTGGCGCCAGGGAAAGCTGGGACGGGTGGGGCAAAGGCGGTGAGCCACCAAAGGCTGCAAATGCCGCTTAAAAAGAAAAGAAAAAAGGAAAGAACGAGAAAGGCGGCTGATACTGGAGAAGGCCCTCTTGTACTCCAAGCGCAACATACTTTCGCTGGTGTTGCTACTTGAGCTCCGATCAGCCGATTTTGCAGAATCATTTTTTTTCTTGTTTTCTGTCACCGGCGTTTTGGTCAGTCTCTCTCTTCCTCAACAACACTATCTTTGACTCGACATCGCCATCCCAAGTACTTCGACACTCCACTGGCGACCCAATGCCCGCCTCGACAAAGAGAAAGGCGGACGCCCCCTTGGGCAAGACGTCTGCCAAGCGCGTCAAGAAGGGTGAGTTTGCTGAGGAGACAACCGACAGAGCACGTCGTCTACCGTGCGTCGTTTATCTAACAGTGTAGCCATCTCTCCCGAGGTCGCCAAGGAGCGCTTTCGCAAGGGTCTCTTCGACTCGTCCGTCCTCGACCGCTACACCGCCGAGTACGCCGCCTCCGCGCCCTACAAGCATGCCGTCATCAACGGCCTCGTCGACGACGCGCTGCTCCGCTCCGTCCGCGACGAGATTCGCGAAAACGTCTCCTTCACCCCCAAGGAGACCGACATCTACAAGATCCACCAGTCCGGCGACCTCGCCAACCTCGACGGCCTCGACGACGAGGCCCTGGCCAAGCTGCCGTCCCTGCTCGCCCTGCGAGACGCGCTCTACTCCGAGTCCTTCCGCCACTACGTCTCCCACATCACCGGCTGCGGATCTTTGAGTGGCCGCAAAACGGACATGGCCATCAACGTCTACACCCCCGGCTGCTACCTGCTGTGCCACGACGACGTCATTGGCAGCCGCAAGGTCAGCTACATTCTGTACCTGACCGACCCGGACACGCCCTGGCAGAGCGAGTGGGGCGGCGCGCTGCGCCTGTTCCCCGTGTCCGAGAAGACGGGCGCGAACGGCGAGGTCGCCAAGACGCCCGGCCCCGACCCCGTCAAGACCATCCCGCCCGCATGGAACCAGCTCAGCTTCTTTGCCGTGCAGCCCGGCGAGAGCTTCCACGACGTCGAGGAGGTCTATCATGCGCCCACCCCCCAAGAGCTCGAGGCCAATGGCGGCCGCGTGCGCATGGCCATCAGCGGCTGGTTCCACATCCCGCAGCCCGGCGAGGACGGCTTCGTGCCGGGCGCCGAGGAGGCACAGGCCAAGAACAGTGGCCTCATGCAGCTGCAGGGCAACCCGGACCAGCACGACCGGCCGCAGCCCAAGACAGTCGAGGTTGGTGGTGGTGCGGGTGCGAATACAGAAAGCCAAGAGAGCCGTACCAGCCAAGAGTTTAACGAAGCGGACCTCGAGTTTTTGTTGCAATACCTTGCGCCGTCGTACCTGACACCAGACACGCTCACCGGCGTGGCCGAGCACTTTGACGAGCACTCGAGCATTACCCTGCCGTCCATTCTCAAGGCCAGCTTTGCCGAGCGCCTGCGCGAGGACATTGAGAAGCGCGAGAAGGACGCCAGCGAGAAGGGCGAAAAGGGCCACAAAGAAAAGGACGACTGGGAGGTGGCCCGTCCGCCGCACAAGCACCGCTTCCAATACCTGCAGCAGGGCGACGCACCCAAGGACTCCCCGTGGTACGAGCTGCTGGACGTGCTGCTGCCGAGCATGCAGTTCCGCACCTGGCTCGAGATGGCCACGAGCACGACCGTGTCGTCGTTTGACCTGACGGCCCGCCGCTTCCGCCGTGGCAAGGACTACACGCTGGCCACCGGCCACGACGGCGAGGCGCGGCTGGAGCTGAACCTGGGCCTGACGCCGACGACAGGCTGGGGCGACAATGATGGAGACGATGACGATGAGGAGGAGGAGGAAGAAAACGAAGAGGAAGAACAGGAGGAGGCGAGTGGCGAGGGCAAGGGCAAGGGCAAGGGCAAAGCAAAGGCCAGACCCGCAAAGGAGGGCAAGTCCACGACGTCCAATGGCCACAAAGAAGAGAATGGCGGTGCTGAGGACGGCGCTGAAGAGGCCGATGTCGGCGGCCACGAGGTGTACATGGCCGGCGACGACGATGCCAACGACGACGCCGCCATCTACCGGTCCAACAACGACGATGACAACATCCTCTTCTTCCAGGCGGCCGCCTGGAACAAAATGACCATTGTGCTGCGCGACAGCGGCACCCTGCGCTTCGTCAAGTACATCAGCCGCAAGGCACCGGGCGACCGCTGGGACGTGTCCGCCACGTTTGAGATTGAGGAGGAGGACGAGGGCGGCGACGACGACGACGACGATGCGGAACCCGGCCCGAGCGGGAAGCCGCTGGGCGAGTCGTCCGAGGAGGAGTTTAACGGCTTCTCGAGCAGCGACGACTCGGACTCGGACTAGGCTGAGGATGAGACCCTGTAACATAAAACAACAATAACAGATAGCCTTTGCATTACGTTGTGTTTGATCACGAGCCATGACCACTGTTTGAGTAGGATAATTATCATTTTGTTTAAAACATGCCTAAATGCATACATGCTTTCCAATGTGCCTGCAGTATACTCCAAAGGTTGAACTCATATCAAATCACACAAACCGTTAAAAAAACGCCATCTGAAGCCAATGCAAACATGATAGAAACCCATGCCTATCCGAAACATGAATCGTCGTTGAAGACATTTGCCTTGCATTCGTTTGCGTTGCAGTCCCATTTTTGCTTCCTATTTTAACCCCGTTTCGTTTTTTCGTAAACCCCCCCCCCCCTTTTCCATTACTCGCCCTTCCAGTACTTGGTCGGCACGAACGGCATCTTGGTCACAACAGCGCGCCGCGTCTTGCCGCGCACCACGACACCCACTTCCGTACCGGACTTGTGCAGCCCGTCCTTGATGTAGCCCATGGCAATGTTCTTGCCCAGCGTCGGGCTCGGGCAGCCGCTCGTGATACGACCAACCACGGCGCCCGAATCGCCCGCCTCGACAATCTCTGCGCCCTCGCGCGCGGGCGCACCGTCCACGACCAGGCCGACGCGCCGCCGCGTCACGCCCGCACCGCCCTGCGACTTGGGCCGCAGCTGCTCCAGGATGGTCTCGGCGCCGTTGAAGGAGTAATCGTTGCGGCGCGCCTTGGGAATGATCCACGACAGGCCGGCCTCGACGGGGCTCGTGGTGTCGTCCAGGTCGTGGCCGTAGAGGCACATGCCGGCCTCGAGGCGCAGGCTGTCGCGGGCGCCCAGGCCGGCAAACTGCAGGCGCTCGGGCGTGCCGGCGGCCAGCAGCGCCTCGGTCACGCCGACCGTCTCCTCCGGGGGGATGGAAATCTCAAAGCCGTCCTCGCCGGTGTAGCCGCCGCGGCTGATGAGCAGCGGGCTCGACAGCTCGCCGTCGGCCAGCGTCAGGCGCGCAAAAACGGAACTGCCAAAGAGCAGGCCGGGCAGGTCGGCGGCCGCGCCGTCGGCCAGGCGCGCGGCCAGAATGTCCTTGGCCAGGGGGCCCTGCAGCGCCACGAGGCCCCAGCCTGCCAGCTCTTCGTGCTGGACGGCGCCCGGCAGGCGGCTCTGGAGCGCCTCGTCGGCGAGCCAGTGCGCCAGGTAGGCGTCGTCCTTGTCGCGGCAGGCCGCGTTGGTGACCACGTAAAAGTGCTGCGGCCCGAGCCGCGTGATGACGGTGTCGTCGACGATGCCGCCGCTGGCGTTGGCCCACAAAAACGTGCTGAGCGTGCTGCGGTGGACCGCGAGCGCGTCAATGCCCGACGGGGTCAGGGCTTCCAGGAACGCAGCGGCGCCGGGCCCCGTAAAGTGGCGCTGGACCATGTGGCCGACGTCAAAGAGGGACGCCTTTTCGCGGGTGAAGTGGTGGGAGGCGCTGACGGAGAGGCCCGCGTACTGGACGGGCATGTGAAAGCCGCCAAAGGGGACCATCTTGCCGCCGTGCTGGATGTGCAGGTCGTAGAGGGCGGTCTTGCGGAGAGACGCGTCGTCGCTGCTGCTGGACGACGCAAACCGACGGACGGCAAAGGACGAAGAGGCCGTCAGGGCGGTAGGCTGACGAAAGGCAGCCGCCAGTTTGGCCGGGCCAGCGACCGAGCGGGTGGTCCGCAGAAAGGCGCGGGAGCCAACCAGGGCAGCCATTGTTGCGGGAGACGAGGGCTTCGGGGTAGAGAAAGGACGGTTTGTGTGTGTGTTTGTGTCTCGCGGGCGGACTGAGGCTCAATTGGGAGCTCGAAAAGGGGTCGTGAGGTCCGTCGAGATCGGTGGCGAGGAAGGAAGGCAGGAGCAAAGAGTGAGCTGGGGATCTCGAGGAAAGAACGATGAGCCAGTCTATGAATGGGCCGAAGTCGGTCGAAGGGCGACACACAATCAATGGAACGTCGCGCAGTCAATTCGGTTCCTCAAATTAGGGATGGAGACGAAGAAAGAAAGACTGTGTTAAACGTACGCTGAAAGAAACCTCGCCTATTCTTTTTCGTCGTCCTCGTCCTTTTCTGAGCGTCACGGTCGCTGGCACCTTCCCAATTGCTTTGGTTGTTTTGCGTCGTTCGAGCCCGTCGACCACTGAACCCCACATTACCCGCCAATAGCCGACCGCGCTTCTTCCTCCACCAGCTCCGCTAACAAGTTGCCTCATTGGGTACAATTGCCGGTTTGGGTTAACAAGACGATAACAGGCAGTGCAGTTTTGTGCCAACTGCACGATCATGTTTACCAGTTCTGCCATTGACGACAACGTTACTGAAAATACGGAATGAAACCTTCACGTATCGAATTCAAGTAAGCTGAGTTAATGAAATGCTTTTCAAAGCTCGAATAACCTCCCTGCAGCATTGGCCAAAAGCACGATTCGTGATCTTTCAAAAGGAAGTTCCCGACCCATCGTCGCACTCTATCAAATTCAGTAAGAGAACCTTGTGCAAAGTACAAAGCCAATGTTAAGACCTCTCCAACTTTCGTCCTTATACTCAGTCTAGCCAGAAATGGCCTCCATTTCTATCTCTTCATGAACGGGTGCGGCCGGTCCTTGTCGAGCAAAAACTGCGTTGAACCAGTTGCGTGGCGTTTCAACCACCGCATTCCGGGCTCTTCTGAACCGGTTCTTGTAATTTCTGAACCAGTTCGTTCCTATGGTGAACGCAGGCATTCTTCTGTTGAACATGTTATTTCCTTTTGCAATCATGCTCCTGCACCATGCGAGCTCGTTGGGGAAGCTGTAGGGAATGAGTTCTTTGACGAGGACGCGGTAGAAGAGGAAGTAGTAGAAGAGCAACTGGATGCCGAGAAGTAATGCAACTAGGACTGGCTGGACGATATACCGGATCAAAAACAGTGTCAAAAGCTCCCCGCGGGTCTTCAACAGCACGGCTGTGACGTAGACGTCGAAGCAGGCAAGAAAGAAAAGACCAAACATGGCGCTGCCTTCGACGCCATCGGCAAAGGGTTCGCAGCACTCTGGCAAGTCATACGGGCAGCGGTATCCCGCGTCGTGCGCACCAACAGGCTGCGGGAGAAATACGTCGTCGGAGCCACGCGACGGCGCAAAGCGGTCGAGGGGGTCGCCGGGATGGTCCATCGACATCCGCTCCGCGTAGAATTGGTTGGCGAGCTGATCTGGTTTGGCGGCGGGCCCGGCACTGTTTGGCTCAGGCCTGGCCACGCGGGCAACAAGTCGAAGGCCGCCCGAGGACAAGCTTCCGGGGGTGACAGTGACATCGGACGCATCGCTTTTATCGCTGCCACTGTTGTCGCCTCCATCAACACCGTTGGCGCCGGTGAACGGGATCACACTATCCATGCTATTGATGCCGTTGTGGTTGAGCTCGTCCGCCATGGCCGCGACGAGAGGCGGTTTGTAACAAGGGTGGTGTTGATGGTCAAGGTAAAGGCTGCTGAAGCGGAGGACCTTTCTCTTTTCCTTTCTTTTCGTTTTGCTAGTCCGTGTGTTATGACAGTTTGATGGAATGATATGATTTGTCCATCTCGCACGTATGTAAATTCGTTCTTTAAGGCTGTACGTGAGTGATGCCAAGTTGATGATCCAAGGTCGTGCTGCTGCGTAAGGATGGAACATGTACTGAAGAAATAAAGGAGAAGTTAAAAGTGATGCGGATGAGATTGAAAAGGGACATGAAAACAATGGCTGCGATCACAACGGGTCGCTCTTTCCTTGAGTCATTCTTGGCGAGACAACTTTATGTTTATGTGCAGCTGCCAACAGCGACAAATGAGGAAAGACAAAACAGCGACCTTCTTGCGAACGAGACGAGAGTCGCACTTTCTCATTTTGCAACTTTCATATTCATCAAAAGGAGCTCTTCTCCAAAATAGGAGTCATTTGTAAAATGATGACGAAAATACACCACATCCACAAATTACATCTTGTCTTGTTTGGAACGTTGCTCTGTTGCTCTGTATCGTGTCGATCGGCAACGCGCACATTGGGCAAATCTCTTGAATCTCACTGGCCAAACATCCTCTGCTCTCCTCACCTGCAGCCACAGCGAAAACCGGAGACAACCAGAGCAATTGACTCAAAAGTCATCGTGCGTGTGACCACATCACGCAACAACACGATTGGCAGCCGGCGATGCGCATCTGCCGGAACATTGTACGTAGCCCAATTGCACGCACGACCAACTGGCGTCCACCTCAACGGCGGTGTACAGCGGCCGAAAGACGGAGCGAGTCGACACCTGCGCAGGAGACATTCTCCAAACATAGTAGACCTGGCAAGGAGTCAAAAGGGATTCAAAGGAACGACCTCGTTCCCAACGTTGTGCCTCTTAGCCCAACGAACCCCCGTCCTTTCTCACAACTTTGACCGACGCGCCCACCATGGCCAACCCAACACCTACCACAGACACGGTGACACAACCTCCACCTCTGCCGACGCCAGCCGACGAGGACCCCGATCTCTTCTTTCGCTTCCAGAGTCGCCGCAGCGTGGTCCACAGTACACGGGGCATCGTGGCTTCTACGAGTCCGTTGGCGGGCCAGGCTGGTCTTGCAATTTTAGAGGCCGGAGGCAATGCCGCGGACGCAGCCGTGGCGGCCTCGGCCGTCCTCGCAGTCGTTGACCCACCCATGACAGGCATCGGCGGCGACTCGTTTTCTCTCTTCTACGACGCGCAGAGGACGCACAAAGTCCTCGGCCTGAATGCATCCGGGCGCACGCCACAGGCGGCCACGCGCAAGATGGCATGTGAATCGATCGGTCTCCCGTTGGGCCGCGACCGCGACAGTGAGGCCGACCAGAAGAAGAACGACGAGCAATTGGCCGCAGCTTTGTTGCCGCACAGCTCCGTGCACGCCGTGACGGTCCCCGCGGGCGCAGCCGGGTGGGTGGATGCGGTCGAGCAGTTTGGTTCGGGCCGCGTGACGCTGGCCGAGGTGCTGGCGCCGGCGATCCGGTTGGCCGAGAAGGGCTTTCCGGTCAGCAAGCTGTCTGCTCATTACTGGAAAGCGGCCGAAGAAGACCTGCGGACACGGTCACCACCGACACCGAACATCTCGAAAAACGAATCCCGGCCACACACGCTGCTCAAACCGGACTCCAGCAGCCCACACGGCGTCCGCGCACCGCGAGAAGGCGAGATCATTCACAATACGGACTTGGCCGAGACGATGCGGCGGCTGGCCACGCAGGGCAAAGCCGGCTTCTACGAGGGCCCCGTGGCCGAGGCGATTGTAGCGGTGTCCAAGGCGGCGGGCGGGATGATGACACTCGAGGATCTGAAATACCACGCGTCGCTGCCGCCGGACATCCATGAGGCCTTGTCGATACCGCTCGGGAGCATCCAAGCGGCGGCGTCTGGCACCACCGACAGGAGCACGGACGCATCCGGTCTCCGACTCTGGGAGCACCCACCCAACGGGCAGGGCATTGTGGCCTTGCTGACAATTGGCATTCTCGAAGAGCTTGAGCGGACTGGCAAGATCCCGCATCTACGATCGATGCAGCACAACTCGGCCGCGTACTTGCACGTCGTTGTCAGCGCGCTGCGCATTGCCTTTGCCGATGCGGGCTGGTTTGTAGCCGACCCAGACACCAAAGACGCGGCGTCGACCTTTGATCCGACGAGACTGCTGCGACCAGACTACCTAGCGGAGCGTGCGGACCTGTTCGACCCGGAGCGGGCCATCCCAACGCCACCCCTACATGGTGAGCCGGCAGCCGTTGGCCCGGAGGTTGTCGACGACATTGACTGCCTCGTGGCCAGCAAAGCCACCGCGGCCTCGCCCACCACCAGCGATACGGTTTACCTGGCCGTCACCGATGAACACGGCAACGGCTGCTCGTTTGTCAACAGCATGTCGGACCTGTTTGGGTCCTGTCTCGTGGTGCCAGGCTGCGGCTTTGCCCTGCCGAACCGCGGGCACATGTTCCGCCTCGGGCCGGCCAACCACCCCAATGTGTATGCCGGCGGCAAGCGGGCGTACAACACCATCATTCCCGGTATGGTCACACGTGATGGTGATGGTGATGGGGAGCAACCGCAGCAGCAGACACTGGACACCGTCTTCGGCGTCATGGGTGGCTACATGCAGCCCCAGGGCCACGTCCAAGTGCTGCTCAACATGCACGCCTTTGGAATGGACCCACAGACGGCGCTCGATGCGCCCCGTGTCTGTGTCGCGCCCAACTTCTTTTGGTCGCCGGACCGGGCGGCGGCGGCGGCGTCGATGGCCGGCGGCGAGGTGTCGGGCCAGGTCTACGCCGAGGAAGGGCTGCCCGAGGCGACCATAGACGAACTGCGGCGGCTCGGGTACACGGTGGTCGTGGTGCGGCGCTTTGCGCGGTCGCTGTTTGGGCGCGGACAGGTGATCCGGGCCACACACGACCCGGTGACGGGCGAGCGGGTGTACATGGCGGGCAGCGACGGACGCGGCGACGGACATGCCGTGCCACTGATCTAATTCATCTGGGAACGGAAGAGGGGAGCCCGTCGCGGCGAAGAATACAGACTCATGATCCCATGATCCCACGCAGTATTGCCTGAATAGAACACCGTGGCCCCCCACATAATAAAAGTTGCCCTGCGATAAGGAAGCATTTTTGTGCCACTCTCCTCTTCGCTACAATGAATTGATGGTTCGGTATCCTGGAGGCTGGATGCTCGGCGACTCCGCGATTCGGCGCGTTCGGTGCCTTTTCTCTGGCCTCGGAGGACACGGATAGGGATTCTGCTTGTCTATCAATATTGTCCTCATATTCCAATCCGCCATTCCACCGTCAGCAATCAAACCACAGGAACAATAGCCAAATGATCAAAGGAAAACGGCCTGCGATGTGGGGGTTATGGCTTGAAGGTTAGCAATGTCTAGCCTTAAAGCCTCCCATTCTCCCCATTTCTCCCTCTGCCGAGCCCGAGACCGCCGGAGCCGAGGCCGGGTTTTGACACCCGTCGTGGGCCGATTTCATTTCCGTTCCCGATGCTCTTGTGCATTGGGTCCACGTGGGCGTCGTAAATCCTCCATCACCTCCCGGTGTCGCTCGTCTCATCCTTTGTCTCGACTCCGTACACCACATCTCTGTTTTTTACCTTCCCTGAAGATAGATCGTCGTCCTGTACTACCCCTTCAACATTGTCTCGAATGTTATGCCCGAAAGGAGGCATTTCGGAGCGAGATACGATCAATACGTTCATACGTTCAAACACACAGTGAGGCTTAGCTTGGACCCAACATGTGCGGCACATTTGGTACAGCCCATCTGAAAAGGGGCCCAGGCGGGTGGCCAGTCAAGTCTGCGGCCCCCAAGGACAGCATCTCAGACGGAAGTTGCCGTCTATCCACCGGCCACGTACCCAGGTCGTCTTATTCTTGCATGGAGCTTGGACGACGGTGATAAAGGGGGACGGGAGGGGGACGGGGGGCGAGAGGAGAGGAAGGATCCAGTCCTCGTCAGCGGAATACCACCACAAGACATGGAGAGTCTGGAAAAGTGAAAGGTGCCAAGCATGCCCAGCGAGATGAGTTGGCCACCACGGAGCAAGTGTGACGAGACGCCAGCAGGCTTTCGTTTCTTGCAGCCTACCCTTCTTTGCTTCTGCCTGCATTCCTTCCGGAAGGACAATTCCTACCGGGTGGACGTTGTGCCTCGACCGCACGAGACGTTGTCTCATCACGTCGCATCGTCCCGGTCAGCTGGAAGGCGGAGGGATGGCATGGATGCAGAGAACCAGGATAAATTGTGGAAAATAAATTGTGGAAAATAAGTTGTTGACAATAAGCACGATACTATATCAAAGAATGATGAATGAGGACGCTGATCGGCGGCTGTTTCGGGACATCTGAGCATGCAAATCCGGTCATCGGTGGCAAACCGACGAGAGACATTCACATTCACATTCATTTTCCTTGCGGTGCTGCTTGCCATTGTAAGCATCGCACTTGCATCCTTGCCCCTGTTTCCATGTTTATGGAGGCTTATCTCCTCGTCGTTCCTGCGATGGATCGCGAAGTGCGGCAAAACATCACACTCGCCAGCCCACCCGCATCCGATGTCCAATTTACTTTTGAAGCACTTGCGATCGGTCGCATTGCACCTGGACGCGCCTGACTGCACTCCTTCCAGTTTTGTAGGGCTGACATACCTTTGTCTGTGCAGCTCCTCATCTCTTCCATCGGCTGCCCCCCTTTTTGGCTCCCATGGACTCTTGTTGGCGTCTGCCATGGTGCCGTTCCCTGGCTGCGTTACGGGTCTTCTGTCTGTACGATACCAGTCCCCGGCCATGTTCTATGATCCGTCTCCCCCCGTCTGTTGATCAACAAGCAGTGCCGGTCTCCGACCCTTGCGTTTGGGCCTCGCCTTTCGCGTCTGTCCCCCATGTCTGCCTCAGGGGCTGAGCCAGAGTGGTGAGGTGAAAATAAGAAAATAAGTCTAATTTCTCTGCATCCTCCGTACGTCATATGCAGTCCACCGTTGCTTTTTTTGTTATTTCGATTCGAGGAATCTCGGGTCGAGTGCCGTCGACGCCATCCTTTGCGACCGTCCGGTTCCCCGTATCAGGTGTCGTCGCTGGCCCTTCTCGACTGGCTTGGCCAACCCCAATCTGGCATCGTCAGGAGACGGTTTTGCCACGCCCCCATTGCACCGTACTCCCCTTGTTTCGGCCGGTTTTTGATTAGGCTATGCTGGGGCTCTCTGGATTCCAACCGTCATCCTGATCCTGTGTCGACGTCCAATACCACGGTGCGGCCCAGAGGACCCCCCCCCCCCTGCTTGTATGCCTACTGGCCCCCCCTCGCCGGCCGTTTTACGTGACACTTGGCACGCAAATCATGATTTTCCCGTGCATCAAGAGACAAGATGGAAGGTGGTATCAGCAAAAACTAGTGCCTGGCACATTCTCATCAAATGGGAACAGGTGCACAAAGCAATGAGCGGGGCGGGGCGTGTATGCAGGACCGTTTGAGAAGCTGTCGGTGGGTGCCTTCCTCGTTGATGTCGCTTGCTGGAGGATTTCCTGTTCCTCGAGCACGCTGACTGTACATGTCTAAAATTACCAGGACCGTCCTATTTTGTTTTGAATGCCCACAGTCCACGCTAAGCGCAGGATGGACGATGGACAGCACGAAACAAGGTCGCGATCGAGGCTATCGTCGTACTGGACTTGCTAGGCCCCGTTCTTGGAGGACGGGATGCTGTCGATCGTCAACGTTAGCTCACGCGGTGCGCCCCATACCGATACGCAGCGTCGTCCGTTCCGTGGCACAAGCACGATCCCGTGGTGTTTGTTCTGTGCATTCTGTGTTGCCATACGTACGTTCGGGTCGTTTGGCTCGGAGACGACTGCAGACGCAGTCGTTGAGGTCTCCATTTATTCAACGGTGTTGTTGACGGTCAAACATTCGAAACTTTGTGGCATCGAGACTTTGTGATATCGAGACATTGTGATCGAGACACTGTCGTCTTCTTTCCATCCACTCACGTTTCGGAGGATATCGCACAGAGGCTGCCCAAATTTAGAAAGCAAACGTACGTGAGATGCACTTACACAAGGGCACAAAAATAACGTCGTCAGCCACACTCCGTTGGAGACCTCGCCAACGACCGGACGCTGCGAAGAGCGACGTAGTCGTTCTGTTGTGTTCCTCGAAGCATGCACGTTTCTCACGTCTTCCTCGCATGACAAGGCTTGCTTGGCTTGCACGACCTCTAGAAAAAGGCATACTTGTGTGGCACGGCATCCTTGGCATGAGCCACAGAGCGTCTTGGAAAGGTAAATTGCTATTCATGTCTCCCCCCTCCCCCCCTTTTTTTTGGTCTCCGTCGATCGTGAATCCTTTCACTTGACAGAGTCGAACAGGACATGAGAACCCAAAGCTTAAAAAAAAGAACACCAAAGCAAACGCCGGACATCGTCAGCACTAGCATTCCTTTGCGCACTTTGCGCAGCTCACCGAGCAAACTCCGTTACAAGTAATTCTGTACGGAGCACAGTTCTCTTCCTGGCATGTTCTCAGCCACGTTTACCCTCATTTCATCGTACATGGATACGTCTATCGTCCGTCTGCCGTCAACTGCGCTTAAAAATACAGGGGACGCAGAGGCGGTCCACAATTCCCAGCCCTATGGGAGACAGACAGGGGGCCAAGGTCATTTCGTTTTCTTTTTCCTCTTTCTGCTTGCGTCCTGTATCTCATGTTCGCCGTCCTTGACGGTGGAATACCCGACCTCCGATTCTCACCTCCCGTCTATGGATTTACTTTGTCTGTCCTTAACTCCGGCACTGTCTCGCAAATCCGTCCTCTGTCAGAAACTTCAACGTGGTCCCCTGTCCATTTGCTCCGTACCTTGTTTGCTCCGTGTGCCATTTTGTAGATCCTCTTGCAAGAGTGGATCCTTTGGTAAGCATGTTTGTCAGCCAGTGTTCTATATTCAACACATCGTAAGGGCAAGACACCCAAAGTGAACATGCATTCACCAGGCCTCGTTCCTTTGCCAGAGAATCCTATACACGTGGTTGTTCATTTGAAAGTGTTCCTTCTGAATGGCATTTGTTTCGTCTTGATTTTCAAGGCGTCACACACCTGTACAACGAAAACCAGGAACATGGACGAGAGCCAACGTCCAGTAGAGAATGGAAACGTCAAACTGCAGCGTCCAAGGAAAAAAAAACTGTATACCTCCACAAATCAGACGATGCCGCTGTGTTGGCCCAGTCTGTTTTACGTAGATCAAGCTCAACGCCGTTGAAACATCGCCAGGTTAGTCACTTGTCGACCGTGTACGACACGCACGTTTTGAATGTGCAGTCCACGCGACCCAAGTCAAAGTCTGCCTCGTCTGTTTGCCTTCTGCAAGCGATCTACTCGAAACACGGTGGGTGAAGAGCATAAGCGTCACAGAAGAAGGCATATGACCCTGTCGTGGCTTTGCGGATGGCAGTGTGTGATGGGAATGTCAAAATAGATTGCCAGAAAAACGGAGACAACCCGTCGCAGACCGAGTTGCAGAATCTGTCGTGCAACCGCAACCTGTACGTGTTTTTTTTTCTGTCTTTGTTTTGCGGCCCTGTACATGTGGGCAGGTGTATGGCTGCACAGCGGTTTGTTGCGTCATCGTGAAGGAAGAAAATGGGAGCTGGCCAGACGCAATTTGGTAGACGACCGCGTCCACAACTGCCAAATGCCAGCTGCCGGTCCATGGAAGGTAGAGGAAGTCTCATGTTCTCCTATTATTCCTCCACTCGTTTGTTGTCGCGTCTTGACACAAAGCACCTCTATCAGAGACGACAGCATCTTCTGTAAAGTACCAGCCCAGCATCGTGACTATGAAACGATGTCAAGGCAAGACATTAGTTGCGTACCGTGTGTCCTCTTTACGTTAACGGCAATCAAGCAGTCTGTTGAGATACGTGCCAAAACCGGAGGCTGTGGCCGTTCTTCCAGTTTCTACCAGATATCAAGACACAATGCTGTTCTACTGCTCTTCATCACCACTCTCGTCTCCCCACCAGAGTTGAACACCACAACTCGACGACTCGGCAGAATACCGTCGCACAAAATTCGACTGGGTGCAGTAGGAGTGAGTGAGAGTGTTCACAGCCCTGTGAGGTTCACCGTTGTGTGGCCAGTGAGTTGTATATTTAGATATTCGGCCTGTTTGTTTGTTTGGTGTTATTTTTTCCGCCTGTTTTACCGACTCCTTCGCCTCTCCTCACCACTTGTCACAGGTAGATTTCAAACCATGCACGATCCTCTGGAAGCACGCACTCTCTTCTACCGATGCATGTTGCCGTCATGACGTCTCTGTATTACCATGACTTTTTTCTGTGCATCCCGGGTGTTGCACTGGACAAGGTCATCACTGAACGCATGCAGGCACTTTACAAACAATCAGAGCAGTGGAGTACGTCCAGCTAACGATGGACCATGCAAACTGACTGTCCTTGTTTTTTTTTTTTTTTTTTTTTAATATGGATTTTGTCTGTTTTGTTCCATTGCATTCTTGCTTAATCTTATTCCCAAAATAGCATCGATGATCGTCAAGCAATCGACAGTAAAGCAGCAAAATTCCCGCAAATGACGATGCCTACTCAATAATTACCATGTACGAAGGATCCTACTTAACTGCGGCAAAGACAGGGCATGCACTTGCGTCTACCACGCAAACAGTCGTACTAAGTGGAGACATCGCAGGTGCTGGGGAAGCGAAGTTTGATCACGGCATCCAAGGAACTGAAGAGAGCATCCGCAAACTAGAAGGTACGAAACGAAAAGGAACAGAATAAACATTGGCCTCGATTTGAATTCTGACGCGTCCGCCGACCCACAAAAGAGGAGACGAAACCACCAAAACAAATTAAGGTTATGAAAGATTAGAGAACCGAAAGAAAAAAGAAAAGGCAAAAATGGGAAGACAAAACGATGTGGTGCTGTGCAGTCATCACTTTCATGGGTTTTCTGCACGGCTCCAGCCAATCGCATTAAAGGTTCTTTCAGTGGTCTTGGCCTTTCCAGCATGGACTTTCTCGACGTAATTACAGAGGAGAACAAGCGTCACGACAGTGGACTGCGGGCAATGATCCGTGGAATCTCAAGACGTGACAACCTTAGTGCTGACAGGCTATGCCTGTCTTGGCCAGCCTGTCTCTCCACGTTACCACCTACGCCGCAACATGGTTCGTCGTCGTTCTCGTTTTGGTTTCAGTGGGATTGATGTTGCATTTTCACGCTCATTTTGGCGGAATTTTCCGTTCATGTACACTTTTTTGTCTGGCCTTGTGAGGCAGGCTTGCTTATGCTGACGCTCCTGGACAGAGGATGGCGAAAAGGGAAAACCGACAAGGGCACGGACATGGTAAACACACACGGCGTGAGACCAGGCCACGGACGCTCCTCTCCAGAACAAAAACGTATCGTACAGTTTTACGGAGCATGCTCTCTGGCCTTTCATGCTTGTTCCTCCAGACGCAGGGGACAGCAAGTCAGCGGGGGTGAGCAGCTTCTTGTCTGACGGGCTACACCAATCGTAGGGCTGAATTCACAAACCGACCAATCGATCTGCTACATCCCAGGACGGGTGCCTGCAGGTGACGGGGTGAAGCCAAAGGCAGGTGATGCAGAAGAAAAGTACCAGGGGGGATACGTCGTAAATAAACCAGAGAAAAAACAAACCTTGGAGGGACATGGATCGGGCAGCAGGACAACTTGAGAAAATGGCCTAAAGTGTCATGGCAGGAGATGGAGGGCGAGAAAAGGGGAGAGAAATAGGGGAGAAAACTATGTGCACGGTGAACGCAGGCCGTTTCGTAAAGTTGGACCTGATAGACGGAATAATCCGATGAGCCACACACGTATAGTACACAAAATGAAGGGAAATCAAGAGAATGGAGAAGAGTACGTCATGTGCGTGGATGCGAAGCCACACAAGGTCCTTATTACTGAATGAAGGGGTGGCTGTGTAGGCGACCGGTTTCCAGGAGTAGGCGCCAGGAACACCTGTTCTTCCCGGCGTAGATCTCCGCGCCACAGCACTACAGCAATGTATGCCGTACGCGACTCTCGACTCGATAGTGCTCCCTATGGAAGGACTGTTGCCCAGGAAACTTAATTGTGGCTGGGATAACTTAACGTTACTTCTCTGCAGTGGCCGAAGCTGTGACTGACGGTGGAGGACGTTTTTATTTATGCATATCCATAGAAGTTTTGCTCATTAGGACCGTACTCCTTTGCGTCTACAGGGTCGGCCATTGCCGTGTTGACTTTATTGTTTTACTTCAACAGTCATTGCAGTCTTGCCCTGCTCTTGGTCCTTGTGGTCTCCCCACGATGGTAAGAAGAAAGGGTGAACATGGAGATGGAGATGAAAAAGGACAGGGGACGGACAGCGGACAGAGTGCCTCTGCTGCAGGCATCGCCAAGACAAGGCAACAGTATCCCGCAGAGGCTGTGGTCGGGCTGGACACGGCCAGGCACGGCAGGTCAGGAAGTGGAGACGTCTTGCGAGCATGCTGTTAACGCGAGGACCAGACAAATCTCCGCCTTTTGGCAGTGCCATTCTCGTGTGTCCTTGTCACTTTTGCTGTCCCTTGTACAACAGGCAACGCCTCGTACGCTGTGGGACAGGCCGCCACTAGCAGGCGGGTAACGGAATTCGTGACTTTTGAAAAGGCGGAGCGGCACACAAGCCAGCACCAATGAATAAAAGCAAAAATCAATGAACTGCACCGTCGGCTATCCAAACAAAGAACAAAGCCAATGCAAGGAACGAGTGTCTCTATATATAGACAAGGACAACGTCTGGCAAGAGCAAGCAGGCACGAACACGACGAGCCGTCGGGACGACAGCAGATATAGATATGGCAATCCAGGCCGACATGTGGACGAAGCGATGCAAAACGACAGGACACGAGCCATGGGCCACGGCAACAGACGCGCTGGCAAACCGTTCCACGCTGTGGCTGAACAGGTGCCCTCGTAAGTACGGAGTAATACATATGCACAATCGGCCGTCTAGCACCTCCTCCCGCACTATGGACGTCCCACAGCCCTGTCTCGCACGGGCGATGAAATCAAAAGAAATCAAAAGGACGCAGTATGTGCTTGACCGGTAATTGTCCCCATATTGTCTGCGGCTGGCTGCGTTCCGATTCCAAATCCTTTATTCTGTACGAATGGACTTTGATTGACATCGGATCCACAATAGCAACGTACTTCAGCGTTTCTTCAACGTTTCCTCGCGTCCACGCCCATTATATTGCTCCCTTTCGTCCCGTGTGGCTGCTCCCAGGCCAGAAAGTTCTCCCCGTCCCCGGCACCGGCCCAGGCCCAGGCCCCAAGCCCAGATTGCCTCTCGCTTCCTTTCTACCTCATTCATGCTCTGCTCGTTGGCGCCGATGCCAGATCGGCCTTCCCTCATCCTCCCGATGCAAGGCACATGTGGCGGGAATGTCCCATCTAGCCATCGCATCCTCCCGGTGATTGCATTCTCTGCAGTTCTTTGCATCGCGAGATCTAGAGCCGCCGATGGCTGTTATCTCTGCTGGTATTGTTTATCGTCCATGGATCAAACTTTCCGAAAAAGGTGGCCATCGCAGCTCTGTGCGTAGATGAAGGCGATTAATGAACAAATAAAAGATGGTACTGACAGGGGTACAACAACAGACCAGTCATCAAAGGTGCCCCAGACAAACTCGCACCTGATTCGCCCGCTCGCACTTCGTCAGTGTGTCCACCCCACGCAAACGTAATTTTTTCACTCCACGCTTCTCACTGAAATCTGTGCATTGTCGTAGCCAGTAAATCGTATTCTATAGGTATGACATTTGTTGTACACTGCTGTCTCCCCTTCAGACAGTCGAGGCGGAGCGATGACGCTGTGTCCAAGAAATCAAATACATGGAGAAATATACACTGTATCTGAAAAGAACGCTCCGCCAAAACAGCCCATTTTGACTCGTTTCTTTTTTTTTCTTTTTTTTCTTTTCCATGCCGTCGCTACGCAAACCACAGCTGTCGCCCAAGCTCCAGTTCACGCCCACCTCATCACCGTCCTTTTTACCCGTCTTGCTCTATTCTTACCCACCGACAGACGTACCACCAACCGCAATACCACCGAGCCACCATGCGGGACAACTCTGTCTCCCCCCCCTTCCCCAATCCCTTCTCTCCCATCGCGTACCCCGACAAGTCACTTGCGGCACCGGTAAAATAGTACCGACATGTGTCGTAGATGTGTGTTATTCGTGCCCGGTTAGAGGCCAGTCTGCCGTTTTGGACCCCAACTTCTTGGCTCTTTGACTCTTTTATTTATTTTGTCCTGTGCAGTCCCGGATTTGCTTCCTTCTCGTGGTAATCAATATAATGGGATGCAGAGGCCATGTATTCGTGAGTGCCGACCGTAACGTGGTCGTCTAGTTTGGTGCCTCGTTGGGCATGTGTGCTCGGCGACGTTGTGTCCACGTTGGTGTGAAGGCCAAGTCAACGTCAACACTACTGTGCATGCGTGCTTTCGTTCTATTGTTCCTTGTCCGAACCAGCCGAATAGTGGCGGAAGGCGGTGCTATGCGGGATCTGGTGACTCGTTTTCTCTCGATGTTCGAGGCCTTTTGTATCAAGATCTAATTTGCTCTCTTGCGCATCTTGCAATCCTTGGTCTTTATTTTTGGCCCCCAAACGCGGCAATGTACAGACTGTTACGTCGTAAGGGGAGGCAATAATAATATGACTTCAAGAGGTTGTAGAGGGCATGGATATGTCAGTCCAAAAGAAAATAAAAAATAAGAATAAAAAAAGACATGTTGTTTATTCTCCTGGAACTGTCAATTTTCCACGATATTGTCCCGTTGACGTTGACCGCACGCCCCTCGATGTACGAATTGTTCATGTCATGTCTGTCGATAAACCGCCCTCCGTGACTGCATCGTACTTTGTAGATTCTGACAGCCCTCTTGTCCGCCAATCCTCTGCGAAGGAACCGAGAACGACCAGAGCCATCTCCATCTTTCCCATCACGCCAACCTATTTTTCACCTGCAGGGCGAAATCGACCCCCCCCCCCCAAAAAAAAAACCACGGTATGCAGCTGGGAGAGGGGCAAGAGCCCATCGGTCCTGGCTTGGCTGCAAGGTGCTGCATGCATGAAATCGAGTTCGAGCGACTCCAAATGCATTTTTCTCCTGTAGTATTTTATTCTTTTTATTTATTTATTTTTCAGTCACAAAATTTGGAGAGCTCTATGTGCCCCACTGCCCCGCTCTCTTCTTCGGGTTGGCGTCTGTTAACTTGACCGCAACTCTTTGTATGTGCTCTCGCCTGTTTCGCCTGGATTTGCATGTAGAGAAGTCGGGGAAGTTGCCTAACGGTTGGAGATCAGGGCCGTCAAATCAATGCAAAATAAAACAAACAAAAAAGGACGCACGCACAGGGCCAAGAACCGGAATCGATCCGGGCCAAATAAGATGCCCTGGAACTTTTTTGATGTTTTTCTTTGGTTGATTCTTACCAGTGTAGTTTTTTGTGTATTTTTTTTATCGATTTTCTACTTGCTCACTCTCACCTATTGTTTCCGTTCCGCAACGGATGTTATTTGCGGAAGCAAACCGAAAAAAAAGCGACTAGAAAATTGACGACAAAATACCGCGACCCTGCATATTGCATCGACAAAATGGGTATTGCGTCGCGCGCAGTCCGAGCCAGCTACTGAGCTCATGCTGTGTAGGAACCGCCGTGATTTTGTCTGACTGCCCTGTATGAGAAAATACAAAAACATTTCTCTTAAAAATAAAAATAAAAATAAAAATATATACTGAAAAAATGTCATCCTCTTTGATTTGTTCTTTGTCAGCGCCACAAACAAATACCTCGCATCAGCCACTGGCAGAAGCAGAAGTTCAGATGGTCCAAATTGACAAGAAAGCCTTGCCATCCAGGGCAGTGCCTCTGTTGGTAAAGCAAATTGGGGGGCCCAGGTCGCCCATGGGGAGGCCACATCCAGCGTGGCCACCCCCAGCGGCCATTGAACCTCGCATTTGGGGGCAGAGGGCCCGACCCAAGTGTGGCTGGAGAGGCCACAGCCCAGGGCCTGAGCGACCCTACGGAGCAGGACGTACAAGGTGAAGTAAAGGTGAAAGAAGGCAGACGGACCCAGACCCGACGCTTGACTGCATTTCGACAGGCTGCGATGGATTCTCCTTCCTTTGCAACGTTGCGGTGGAGCATGGCCGACAGGGCCGAGCATACGAAGGAGCCTGTCTTGGTACAGGTCGTGGCTTGGTAATCGGAATGTGCGTTGGTCAGACCTGTTCGGGATTTCCTTAATCAATGCTCGGCTTTTCCGCCTGTGGCTTCCATTGGACGGATTAGGCGCCGGTCAATGGCGGTCGTCTGCAACAAGAAGCCTGAAAATGCCTTGCTAGGAACAGAATACTTCGTAATTACAGGATCTGAGTGAAATCCCGCATGGGTTTGGTCAGCATTTTTTCTTGCTCGGTCTCGTCGGTGTACCTGGTTGTCGTGGGTATGGCTCCTTTCTTTTCACGTAGCTGGTCGGTACAGAATAGCTGGTCGGTAGCTAGCATAGCTAGCATAACTACAAAGTGCATAGTTTGTATGTCGTACCTGTCTGTCTGCCCTATTCCTTCGCGTCCGAGTCCCCATCTCCGTTCCCCATCCATTCCCGCATGATCTTCAACGCGCTGATTTCCTGATTCATACAGCTCGGACGAAGCTCACCCCAACGTGGAAAGTTTCGGACATGGACATGGCAGGCGGATATGAACGGGGCTTGAAACGGCTAGCCCTCCGATGCCCTTTCCTTATCGAGCCTCTGCCCCATTTCTTCTGGCCATGCTTAGAAAGTTCGCATCTACTGTATCGGTTGTGGGGGGTGTGAGCAGGATTGATGATTGTCAAGTGGTGAGATGAGGCCTTGGCGGGACGTCGGCAAAGAAAAGATAGCGTGGTTAGCCCACAAGCCGCACCCTGTTCAAATTCCAAGGGGAATAAGACGACGAAAGAGACCTCTGCCAGGGTCAAGGGAGAGAGAGAGGAGACATTACCGACCGTGATGGAGAACGACTTGGTTGTTCTAACGGTGCGCTAACCTCCTTGCTACTTCTGATGTTGCCGTCGCAAAGACGATCTACGACATTGGGGGCGTGGTATTACATTGTTAGTGCCACGGAGAAGTCCGTAGCGGTTTAAGAAAGCTGGGGAAAATCAGTCACAGGAGCAGCCAGGGGAGATTACCAGACAGCGAGACGAGGGACGAACGAAAAGAAAAACGAAAGAAAACGTGACTTCGCAGGGCAGTCGACATACGTAATCGGAGCGCAAGTTTATTTGACTTCGAGGGGAAACCGCGGTCGAGATGGTAGAATGTCGCGGTTGGATCAGATAGCAGATAGAAGAAACGGGAGAAACGTGGAAGTTGGTTTGATTGCAGGAGCAATAAACAACACAAACCAAACAAGTGCAAAAAAAAGGCCCCACGCTGCCTTTTTTGGGTTCACCCTTTCGCGACGCGAATTTGGAGATCGAGCGAGGAAGAGAAAAGAGGAAGGTCTGGAGAGAAATGCCGTGTTCCCGCCGAAGCATAGAGATAAACCAAAAAAAAAGACGAAAAAGAAGGAATATATAAAAATGCAGGGGAAGCTGTGGCTTGGGCAAAGGAGCCAGGAACAGCCACGCCGAAAACATATGCACATCTCATCGAACCAGGAACCGGTCAACGAACAAGGTCAAAGAAAATCGGCGGCGTGCTAATCGTGTCCGTGCTCATGTCGCAATGAACCTAGATTCTTAGATTCTGTTGTCTTTCACATTGGTTCTTCAGGGTTTGTCTTGTCCGGTCGCTTTTCTTTGTCACAATCGCCTCAAAGCGACGATCCCAGGTGAATAACTGGCTAAACAGCGTCCCATTGATAGCAGCCTACCGGCTCTGTCTATCCTAACCTTGTCACGCACGTGTGGTAATTACAGCACTGCTGTCAAACAAAACCCAGGCTATTTTATTCTCTGTTTTTCTCGGTTTCTCTCTTTCCACTCGATGTCTTGGCCTCAAAACTAACGACCTACCCGACGGTACAAAGTCGAAAAAGTAGAGTCCACCCACGGCAACAAGACAAGCGTTTTTAACAAGCTGACAGGGATAAGATGTAGCCCGATGGAGACACTCGTATCATAGAAGCTCTCATCCAATCTTTTTTTGTTCTTCATTTCTTATTCCCTTATTTCCCGGTTTCCCTTCATGCCCCCACCGCACGCCCCATTTTCCACGCGGCATACCTGGGGAGCAAGAAAAAAATACAGAAACAAGCAACAAGGTTTGGTGTTCACTATTGATAGCAACAATAATTCCCCATAACGGAGAAACGAGGACGGACGATGTACGGCGTACTGAGGAATCAAACCAGACGAGCGTGGAGAAGGGCACGAAGAATAACGAAAGGGGGAGAAAAAGAAGAAGAAGAGGAAAAGAAAAAAAAAACCAGAAAACCCGCGAAAGAAGACCCCGGGGCGATATCAAACATCGCCGTCCATAGTAAAGCAACAAGATGATCCCGGAGCCTTGCAAGACACCAGCCTGTTTTGGTCGTAAAGTCCCTCGTAAGGAGTAATTGCGACATTCGATGGAAAAAAGATAGACTCGAGAGTCATCGCCTCCCCTTCGGTAAGCAAAGGCCACGAGCAACCCTTGTACGTTGCCGCCCCTTAGACTGAACCCCACTGGAACCACGGTTAAGGATGTTTGCCTAGATGTGATGGGCTGGACTGACTAACTGGATTTGGGCAAACAATGGCGGTAATCACAGCGATTGGCCGCCGAGGTGCACTCGTTGGCGGCGACTTGGCACGAGGAGACGAGCTGGGGGGGACCTGGGCTCCTGGGGCTGTTGGGACAAGCGATCTGCGGCGAGACTGGCGCCTTATGGGACAGGGGGTGCAGCCCAAATCGTCTGGTGTGGGTGGCATTGAGCCGGTTTTTGCCCTGTTTGTCGACAGTGTCTGAATGGTCTGAGTGTGCTAAACAGCACAAAGGCAAGGCGGCAAAACGGTCCAGACGAGCAGGAAGGGCGAGCCGACACGTTCAAAAATGGAAGGCAGTTCGCCCGCTGCTCTCGACCGATGCCATCGCATGATGCAACCCCACGCACAGGTTGGGTGGTCGTTCTTTCTTGTGTACGGAGTAGCACGGAGAAGTACGGAGTAAGATGTACGGAGTAAGATGGTCGGAGTAATACGATGGACTTGGGCGGAAACTGCCAGATCGCTCGAGTCCCTTGACCCCGAAGCTCCCAACGCTCGGGGATTAGCGGACGAGCTGAAGCGGGCCACAGCCCGACGTTCTTGCCTGTTTCTGACCGTCTTGTGCGTTTTGCTTTCTTTTTGCGGACGGCGGCCGTTGCCGGTTGCTCCGAGGGCCGACCACTCAGCTTGACACACTCTTGTAATGTCCGAAACACTCAGCTGTGACTCGGACATACAGACAGGAGCGGATTTTACTGTGTGCCAAATGTTTATTCGTAGTTTTTTTTTTTTTTTTTTTCAAAAGTCGTAAACTGTTATCCACTTTTGATAGCTTTGATAGCAAGTCTTGTCCATTTTCACGTCTCCGCCGTCGTCGGGCACAAGTCGATGCTCTTGGCTTTTGTCGCCATATCCTTCCTTCATGAGCATTGGTTCACATTGTGACCGTTGTGACGCTTCCTACCTGCCCGATTTGTCCAACCGGGGGCTGCCTGGTGAATGTCGTGAGAGCGACCACAGCCTGTTAAGGCTGCGCGAATTTGGCCTGGCCCCGTTTTGATCGTATGGATTCTTAGTGACTTTCTTTTTGTACTTCTTCTCACCCACTGCTTCCTTTGCATTTATTATTTGCGGGCCCTGCCCTGTCCGTGGTAACAGAGGGTCCCAGCGGATATGGACTCTCGCCTCTCTTTTCCGGCCTGTCTACACCGTAGTGTCCATTCAGCCCTTTCTGACCAATTTATGAGGCTCTTTAGGAAAGTCCACTGACGAGGAAATTCGTCTACGAATAGCTTCTTTTTTTGTTCCGTTAGCTAGTGCTCCCTGCTTCGACTGATTTTCGACCGGCATAAATTCTGATTTTCATTCGACGAGTCAACCAGTCCCCGGCACAGTGCCAATGGGCGCTTTCCAAGCTTGAATAAATCGTGCCGTCGTTTTGATTCATCTCTTGGTTGACCCCTTCGTCCTGCAGCCCTTTCGCCAACGCTGTAACCACCCACCCACTCCCACAGAGTCATCGTCCTCCAAGCGCGTCTAAATCGTCTAATCGCTCTCTGGCTCCGGGCGAGCGGCTTATAACGGAGCCTAAAAGAATCCCAAAGGAATCCCAAAGGAATGCGGGAAAGGAACAGCAAACATCTACTGTGCGTTTGCTAGGTCGGGACGATCATCGGTCTCCTATTTGGTGGAGAGGTGGTATGGGACACGGTAAAAAGACACCCCCTAAATAATTTTATTTCATATTCTGTCACAGAAGAAACGAAAGGTTTTGCTTGCAACGGGGGATTTGTCTCATTGTAACGGCCATTTATTTGGCGAAACCGCACCGATTCCAAATAACAGCCGCCGGCTGCAAGGCAACCCACAGCGCCGAAAGGTTGGACGCAAACTCAAATTCAATATCCAACATTCAACATTCAACATTCAACATTCAAAATGCAAAATTCAAAATCAAATACCCCGTAACAGTTTGCCTGCTGCAAAACCCCAACACAATGCGTATCTGACATTCATTACTTAAAACCAAAATCACATGCAAATGAAGAACCGCGCCTACACCTGTCGCTTAATACTATCCGTTTAACAGCTTCCGGTGCTGCGCCTGTCCGTCGACAGGGTCCCCCGGTTTTTTTCCTCTCCCCTTTTGATTCTCATTTTCTTGTCCGATTACCATTCGTCCAGGTCGCTCTATGAACAGAAACATCTTTTTATGTTCCTTTCCATTTTTCGGCGGCGCTCCATCCCGCTTTTCCATTTCGGTCACAGTTTGCACTGATGCTTGTTTCGCCGTTTCTGTCTCGGCGATGATAGACATCAGTTCGGCGACTGCTCTGCACACTGGCTCGACGACATACGAACACGACAGTCGAGCCCCGACGGCCACCTCATGCAAATCCCCATTGTCTTGCTGTCGAGTCTTGCTCGGCTGTCGACCTTTTATGGAAATTACGCTACCACCAACACTTGACGGATCTTATTTGGCCTGTTTCTAATGTCTGTATGGTCCTGCCCGTCCCTTTTTTTGAATTTTCAAAACGACCCCTGCTTGTTTGTCGTAGTGGAGCTAGCGCCAGCAACGGTTTTTCTGCGTCCTTCCACCCATTCTCCCTGCGATTACGACGTAATCAAGTGGTCTGGTTTCACTACACCCTAATCGGTTTTCTGATTGCCTTTTCCTGCCTTGTTCCTCGACAACCGCGCGTTGCGTGACTTGCTACGTCTGCACTCCATAATGACATTGTGTGCGACTTGGACACCGAGCTCCGTACTCGCTTTGTTTCTTACTGCGTCGCCCTCTCCGTCTGACCCAGTCTCAAATAGCACGCTGGCCAGTCTGTTTGGCAAGGGTGGGCATGCTCTCCCCCCTTTCACCCCAACACTCTATTCTACACACATTCGACTGTCCAGATCCCCCAGTCTCTTACGAGCAGCCCAAAGCGACCGTAGTAAAAAACTAGTGTCTGCCTGTCGATTCAGGTGGCCAGGTGCACAAAGAGCAGTGCAGCGTGGTTGTCTCCAGACATTGAGCCGAGCAATTGCGACGCAGCTTTCTGCACAGCCAGCTTACTCCACAGTGCTCCCGTACTTAGTAGCGATGGCTGGTCAATCTACCCTCCCACTATGAATCGCGAGCAAGCCATAGCCACAATCTCGGATCTGTATTGATCGGGACTCGCGGGGGTTTTCTATTAATGGTATCGCTGAATCTCGAAGCCAACAATCGTGACGCTATCCATCTGGATCTACAGTCCGCCTTACGAGAGGTGAGCGTGAAACACTTCTTCGTGAAGCCGGGGAAAACGACAAGCATCGACACTCCCATGTCTGTTTTCTCACCAGCCGTTCGTGGCTTTCGTGGCTCTTGCCTTTCTGTACCGCTCCGAACGCATTTACCGTTTATTGCGTCAAAATGGCATGTCCTGTCCCTTCCACGGAGTATTCCGCGGACCTTAGCACACGCCCCCAATAGCAGTATGCACGCCCGGCTAGCCTCCAACAGGCGTATTTGTATTTTCCATTGGGACATTGACGTTATTACTCCCCAGCCGCCTCACCCAGCTGCATGGAACTTGTTACCGACCAAGGAGCCAATGTCAGGGAAATGTCCGTGTGCCGTCTGCCAGACCAGACAGCACAATTACCGTGGTTTTCTTTCGCTACGAAAATCAAAACGAGGACAATAAAAAAAATAAGAAAAAAACTACGTCTCGTCCAACGGTCGAGTCCCGTCGCTTGTTTCTGGTTTCAAGCCGCTCTCGTAACTAGCCTGTTTAAACGGCTTCCCGTTGGCGCGCCCTGCGACCTGACAAATACCACAAAGGAAATGGAAAGTCGTCGGTAGTTTGCATCCAGACAATCGGCTGTTGTCATGATCAAGCCAGTTTCAACTTTCACTGACGTTTTCGACCTTTTGTAAGTAGCATCAACTGTCATCTGTCAACGCAAACCTTCAACAGCATCACCCCTGTACCGTAGTTGCAAAATCGCCAACAAATTTGTCACTTTTGGATTCTTGGCTTCGAACGATGAGCAGGGTGTGGGGATGGTCGCTTCTCTCGAGATCGGGTGCCTTTTACCATCATTGGACAGCTATACGCTTGTCACTTTTTTTCTTCTTTACTTCTGCTTCTATTCACTGGCCCCAACCTAAGGTATGTACGGGATCGGGCCAACCCTAGGCAACGCTGGCTGTTGTCGATTCCCTCTTGTCCTCTGGCCTTATGAAAGTCGTCCGTTTGTTGTCTTCCGTTTCTTCTCGTCACAACAAGCGCCAACCCCCCCGTCGTAGGCGTGCAAAAGCAGTGGCGCTTGTACTCCATACAAATTCAACATCCAACTTCTCTCTGTGTTTTTTTTTTTTTTTTTTACGACGCCATTCTCCAACTGGCGGACTCGTTTTCGCAACCTTCTTAGATTTTTCTACTTGTTCGCCAGTTTAGCCCATTATGACTGCATGCTGTCGGCTCGCTGACGCCCTACTGTAGCGAGACACCGGACCCATTTCTTATATTTGTCGCTTTTCTAGACGACCATCATACGGCGTGCTTTTTTTCTTTTTATTTGGTGCTATCAATAGAAGCAGGTAGCCCCATACAACTAAACGGGTCATAAACTAGCGTACGCGAGCTGAAAAGGAAACAGCGCCGTCTGTTTTCCAGGACAAGTCTCCGGCCGAGAAACCCGCCAAAATACTGACGCCATAACGGAAAGCGGCACCCTCATACGAATCGTACTCAGAATATGATCAAAATTGGGGGGTTGCCTAACGGCGGAGAGAATGGTGCCCCCTCCTTCTCTCCTTCCCCTTCTAAATGTGCTATTTAGTGGTGTCAGTTGTGTACGAATTGGAGGGCGCGGCAAGAAAAAGGGGGCAGACTAGAAAACAAAGAAAGAAAGACGTCGAGAGGGGAGAGGGGAAGGCACGATGCAGGCACAGCAGCTTGACCCAGCCAAACCCAACCCAAACCCACCCACCCCGTACCTTCCGTAGACGCCGAGACGCCCTACAACGAACAGCACCGCGTCTGTTCCTCCCTACCCGCCCTGTATTTTCTTCTTCGTTTCGCTTTGCCGCGATCCTTCCCTATCAGGACATATCTCCTGCCTGCGGCCAACAGAAGCCCGAAAAGGCAAGCAGTCAAAGATGCCCTGACAAATAAGCGACAAGGGGAAGAAAACGGCACTCAAAGTGTGCGTTTCTTTAAGGAGCTGCGAAAGTAAACGTCACGTAGCCGCACCTGCCTCAAATAATCGAAAGACATGTGCAACGCATCGCTCCTTCCTTTGTGATGTGCATTGTTTTTCATGAATATGGGTATCATGTCAGGCCGTTCGCCCCCCTTTTCTGTTGATTGTAGACTTTGACAACATTTTGGGCTTTGTTTTATCCTCCTCAAAAACTCAAATCAGAGTTGCAACTCACCCCCAGTTGCAAAATGCCAGCCAAAAACGGGCCATGTCTACCAAGTCTGCCAAAAATCGGCACCCAAAAAAATTTACAGCAAACAGCCCGAGCAAGCATAGGACAGATCTGAAGATCAGTGCCCCGGTGTTCGTCTGTTCACCGTCCCAGTTAGACTGCAACAGAAGGCGGGTGCGATTTCCCCAGAGTGGACCAGTCCCTTTTTGTTCGACAGAAGAAACCGCAACATTCCGTACGCGAACCCCCGTACTTCGAACGGCAGATGACAGAAAACATACCAACGTGAAACAGGCGGCACAGCTCAGGCCAAAGGCAGAACAAGTTACGGCGTACTGAATTTTGTCATTATTTCTTGGGACTTTGTTTCTTCGATACGGTAGAGAACTCTCCCGTGTCTTTCCCTCCAGGGCCATGCCATTTTGACTTTCCTCTGCTTGCACACTGGAAACGACTCCATTTTACCTTTGCTATTGCAGATGGCTAACCAACCAGCCAACGTATAAGCCTCGCGGCCCACGGTCGCGGCCGGCGTGGCTGGCGCCAACATCTGTATCGAATCCGCATCCTTCACTTTGGCAGCCGTCGAGATGATTTGGGAAAAGTGCACATATATTCCGCCTTGGTGTATGGCTGCGACCAGGCCACATCGTCTGGCCAGACAAGCCAGATCTTTCCTGTGAGCCTGCCCGGCGGCACAGCTGGCGACTCACACACTATACCCCACGCATGCAATATCGACAGACGACTCGTATCATTGGTGTCAATCTGGTCATTTGCCCCGAATGGAGGTCGACAAGGACAAAAAAGGACAAAAAAACAAGGTCCTTTTAACGTTGTATTTACTGTTATCGGGGTGATGGCCGACGTGCAGCGCCGCAAACTGGCTCAGCCGTGTGGCGCGCAGTAGAAACAATGGCGATATATTGGGGGTGGTTGAGGAGAGACGAGAGACGTAACGACGCAAAACATCTCACGCTATGGCCCTACGATATCGACGGATGTGCAACCAACGACGGCCAACACCCCACGAGGTCATCCTGTCTTTGCTGTATTCTCGTTTCGCATTTTGTCCATTTCGCAATCGACAATCCAGGGTATCCAACCAGATGATTGCGAAATGCAAATACACAACCTCGACGGGCAAAACTCAAATTGCTCTTTTGTACGTTCCCGTCCTCTCCCAGGCCCGGTTATTTTACCCTTCTGAGAACTGCACCCGCAACAATAACGGCCGTGACCATGCGGAACCCTCAAGAACCGCAATACCCCAGGTCCTTGTATCTTGCGGGCTTCCTTGAATGCATGGACGCAATACCTGCGCTTTTGGACGATGCGCCATTCGAGTCTGCGACTGTGCTCCTGGCCCATTTGATTTTTTCCCCCTTTCCTTTTGTTTTTCTCTCTTATTTGTTTTCTGGACTCTTTTCTTTTGTTCAACTTGTAGACATCCTACGCGCCCCTGCCTCCCCTTTCTCCCATCCTCCCCTCCCCATTTCCCTTCACAAATCCTGCCCATCTACCCACACCCTCACTTCACCCTTGTAAGGCCGTTGGCAATGTGAACCCCAAACAGCCTTAGCCTTAGCCTTAGCATTCCCACCATACCCCTTGTCGTTTTCTGTTTTATCTTCACCCCCCTCCACCCCATTCATTGCCTGTCCACTCTCAGTGGCCTAGTTAACCCACCTCCCGTCGCGCGTCTCTTTTTGCACTCATTTTCGGCCATTAATGTTCTCACATTACGAAATACACGCTGATGACATGTCTGCCCAAATGGACGCATCGCTAACGATGGAGCACACCACTGCATCTAACTGGCTGGCACATGCCGCCCACACAATTGTCCTGTCTGTCAACAACAAGACCGACCAAGACCTGCCCCTACCTGCGATGCCTATCCAGCTTCACCGGAGAAACCGCACTTACCATGCAGAGGGTATCTTCTCACGCCTGCCACCCACCCCAGACACCAGAGTCACCAACATCGGTCGTCTTGCACTGCCTGGCGCCTGCCTACCTGCCTAGACTCCGAGCCACGAGATGCTCTTCTGCTGCGTCATAAAATGACAAGGAAGCACCTCCCATGGGTCCATGGAGCCCCAGCCTGCCTGCTCTTATGTGTACTGCCATGGCTATGGCAATGGGCTTCACCCCTGGAATTCGAGCCTGGGGCCTGAACTGCGACCAGATCCCGAGGCCAATCCAGGCCCGCACCACACTTACACGCCAGTCTTGGAAACCCCCCCCCCTTCTTCCGTATCTTTACAAACGCTACGCCCACGCACGTAAAAGCACTGTCGACTTCTTGTTTTCTTTAGCATTTCGATCTCAAGTCTCTATGTCTCTTATAGTGCAGTGTGTTTTATTTTCCTTGTCAGCCGGAGCTTCGTTTTGCTTGTCCACTTTGTCTTTTGTTTCCCATTCCTGCTTCCTTATTTCGTTCCGGTTCGATTCTTATCCTCTTTCATCAAATTTGTTGTGCAGTTACAATCTGCTCATACGTGCCACCCGCCCCCCTTTTGTCTTTCATTTTCTCTCGGCTTATAAAAGACCCATACTTTGCTTCCGTTTTTCTTGTCTCCATGAAGTCACAAGGTCCAGGCAGATCAGAAGCACAACAAATTGCAAATGACTCGACCAACAGCCAGACAACGAAAGAAGAAGTATGAAATACGGACGCAGTCGATAAAAACAAATGACATAGACGGCTGAAAGACAACAAATAAAAAACAAACCGACAAAGCAATACATCAAGTTGCCCAAACACTAGACAAGCAAACCGAGCAACATCGTGTCTACTGTTCCTTGCCCGGTCCCACCCATTCCTCCACCATTTACTCTAGTAACAAGCTTGGCCAGCCTACTGGCCCTACTGGCCCTACTTCACCCTACACGCCCTGCTACCACTGCCCTACCGCTTCCTTTCGCTTCCCAGAAAAAATTAAATACCCCGTGGAACCCATCCCTCCAAAGATCGCCCTACCTGAGGCTGAGAAACAAACTTCACCTCTCCGGGAACTCCCCACCGTTGACCAGAACATATATCTGTACCTGTCTCCTTCCTCCTCCACCTTCACACCCCCCTCCATCTCTTACACCGTCCTCTTTCTATATCATTCGTCTACTTCCTTTTCCTTCTTAAACTCGGATCGAACCCTCTTCTTCCCTTCAACTACCTTTATAAATCTTAAAACATCTATTTGAGTTGCCTTTCTCCCACTTCCTATTCCTACCTACTCTCATAGCTTCTCTCTCTTCTTCCACCCCCTTCACCCTGACGCCAACTGCAACCTCCAACCTCAACACCTCTCTCGCCAAACCAACGTCGTCGTTTTTGTCAACATATAAGTCGACCTCTCCGCCCATCGTTCTCCAAATTCCTTCAGGATCAACAAGACTCGACACCAAAGCACATCGCCTCTTCCCTCTCGTCTCTCGTCATCTTCCACCTGCCTTCACGCTTCGGATATTTCTTTATCATTTTGTACGTACTACTCTTTGCGGATGAGGATCCCCAACCCATCGAGCTGGCCTTGATCCCTCGTTTCCTGAATTTCATCTCGGTATTTATTTCTCTACAGGATGTTGTCTCCCACCCATTGACTTAAATCTGTCTCATATTTTTGTTTTGCTACTCCTTCCTCCTTGCTTGTCTTGCTTATTTATTTTTCTTTTTTTTCTCCTTCCCCTCACTTTTCATGTTTCTTTTTTGGTGACGATGAATTCGTCTCCATCTTCCAACATCACGCCACAAAGGAACGACCGCTCACACGATATAGAGTCTAGATCTACCGCCGCCAGCAGCATCCCGGATTCTGCATTCAGCTGCACAGGCTTTTTTCCTCTCCATTCTTCGTCCGCTTTGCAACACGGCCGAACACCTCTCTCGGCAGCGCCGCCTCTCCAGCTTCCCCTGCCTACCGTTCTCGTCTCGCCTCCGCTGGCACCCACGATTTCGCATCTTCCACCGTCATCGTCGGATACTGCAACTATGAGGTAAGATCGCCCTGACCCTTTGCTGATTGCCATATCCTTCTCTTCTTTTGCTCTGCTTTTGTTCTGCTTTGCCGCTTGCATATTTGTTTGTGAACCCTTTGTTCTTCTACAGTTGCAAGTTGCATTTGCTGCATTTACCTGGCATTCTCCTTGTTCCGTTGGTGTTTATGCGCGTGCTTGCTTGCGCGTGCCTGCGTTGTCTGCAAAGGAAAAGGCCATCCTCGTCTTTTTCCCACCTTTTCTTTCTGTTATCTCACACAATTTTTTTCTTGCGTACAGCGCTGTCGCTGCTCTCCAATTCGATCCTGTGTTCGGCATGGGCAGTAGGACATCCTATTCTTCCTGGCCAGGTACGACCCATTCCAAATTCCGTCGAGAAGAGGAGAAAGGGGACGAGCCGGAGAAGGCAAGCCAAGAACCAAAGAAAAGGGGAGAAAAGAAAGAAAATTGAGGCGTCGGCATGGGGCATTCTGTGTTCTTCTTTCTCCTCGGGAGAACGAAAGTAACAGGACGACTCAGAGACTAACTCCGTGCGGTTGTGTAGCTATTGAGTCGAACAGCAATCACGGTCTCTTGGGTCACGATCTCGGTCTTTCTTACGCTTCAGACACCAGCCTGTCACCACCCACGGCCTCGCGCTCCATGACCGCCAGCCCGCCGAACCAAAGCATCATTCTCAGCGCCCAGCAACGCGAACTCAAGCGCCAGCGTGAACAGGTCCGCCGTGAAGCCAAAGTCGCCTTTCGGAGACAAGCCTCTGCCAGCACTCCCGGCTCTTCGCCGCCGCAAAATCACTCCGCCGTTCCCACTCCTGCCTCCGGTTCCGTCACAGGCTCCCCCTCGTCTTTTCTCCAGTCGCCGCCTCCCGCCATCATGGCTGATTTGAGCGCATCCGCCGCTACGGGCGGTCTCCCCGGCATCTACGGATCCACCAGCAGCGCCTCGTCGCAAATGCCACTGCTCTCGGAACCCGCCACCACCTCTTCCAGTCTTGGCTCGCCGTCGTACTACTCTTCACCGATGCACGATCACCAGCAGTCGGGCGTCTTTTCCTCCTCCTACCAAAATCAGGGCTACATGCCAGAATACACTACGGCCTCGTTCCCGGCCTCTGCACCGGCAACACTGCACTCACAATACCCGTAAGTCCAGTCAAGGGCGTTTGCTTGAGTCTCTTGAGAACTTTGCAGCACACTAACAAAAGTCAGACGAGGAATGCACGACCAGCAGAATCTTATGTACCACATGCCGCCGCCGTCATCTTCGTCCATGATCAGCCCCAACCACATCTCCCACCACCAGCAGACCGCTCACCAACTGCCCCTGCCCCAGCAGCTCGCACATCACCAGCAACCACAGCACCGCTCGTCACACCACAGCGGTCTCCACGGCGGTCCCCACGCTCACCAGCCATCGCCCCCTCTGCCACCGCACGCTCATGCACACGACAGCGCCAGTGGACCGCACCAGTATGAGGGCGGCATGGCTGGCAACACCGTTGGCAGCACGGGTCCGGCGGGTGTACGTGTTGTCCAGAGCCGGCCCAAGCCGCAATGCTGGGAGCACGGTTGCAATGGACGACAGTTTTCGACATTTAGCAATCTGTTGCGGCACCAGCGCGAAAAATCGGGACAGGCAACCAAGGCCGTGTGCCCCAACTGCGGTGCTGAGTTTACGCGGACAACGGCACGCAATGGTCACCTGCAACACGACAAGTGCAAGCAGCGGCGAAGTGGTTGAGGAAAACCTCTCTACTCTGCGTGATTACGTGTTGTGACTGCCCAACAAAAGGTTATAAAATCCACAAAAAAAATAACATCATTTTTTGGGGGAAATGGGGGGAAGGTGTTTCTAAAATTTTGTATTTTGATAGGTTTGCGCTGGTCGGCTTTTGATTTTTTATTACTGGTTTGATATATACACATCTTCTTGTTCTCTTTTTTTGCCTAGAAGGTAGGCGACTATATGTCTACCCGCTCAGGTTTGCATTGGGCTACTTTTCTCTCTGTTTTTGAAAGTATGTCTTCTTCCTGTCTGGATAAGGGGATACTCTTTTGGCAAAGGCGTTTTTTTATTATTTTGTTTTGCTTTCCTTTTTACGATCTCTTCAACAGGAGGGACAAAGGCGGGCGGCAAAGGACTACGCATGCTCGGTCTGGTTCTGTTATGTTTAACCCTTTTTACTTATTTCGTCTGATTAGAGATATGAAGTCTTACGATTTGCACATGCATTGTCCGTTCACTCTGCATCGTCCGGTTTCCACTTTTTTTTTTATTACCCACTACCAGCGTGTCAGCTGGCTTTACGAGAAAACAAAAAAATAAAAATAAAAACAAGAAACTTGTCGACAGAGTACATCTATTGCGAGATACACCCATCGATCTTTTACATTGCGTATTTCTGTTTGAAGAAATCTAGCGTGCTTCTTTTGATTGCCTTGCTGACACTAGAGTTGAGCAAGAAAGTAAAACAGCTGTCTATTTTTTTTAAAGAAACGTACAAGTCGGCACGTAGTCTAACACGCCCTGCCGTTGAAGAAAACAAACGAAGAATTAGAACCAAAAAGGGTGGTAAAATTTATGGGGAGCAGGGTTGGGCGAGGGAGTTGAGAAAGAGGGACAAAAAATAGAGCTCCATTTTCCCTTCTTCCTGGAAATCGGGCGCAGAGCTCAGATGGGTCGACCCGAGCGCACAGAGCGGCGACAATCTAGCGCCACGTTCCGAATGTTCGAGGTTGAATCCGGTGTTGTTGGTATGGTACTTTTGCATCCACCCCTTGCATGTTCTCAAACATCTTTGTCGTCGCCCCCCAGATCCTTCAACGTATACAACAACATACACTCCGTACATTCTCCATCCGGCATCATCCAGACTGCCGGCCGACCGGTCCTTCGTTTCGGGTACATCCAGTGTCTTCGGGACCGAATAGAAAAATCCATTCCCATACTTTGTGAAGCCCTGGACAGGGACGCTAAGATGGAACAGAAAATGGCCGATGCTTTTGTCTATGGCCGGTATTTGCAAAATCTGTAACATGAAGCAAGGGCGTCAGAACGCAACGGGTAGCACAGACAAAAGGACACTAGAGACTTTTGTCTCTGTAATATGGCACGTGGAGACGGCGAACGTTCCCAGTTCTGGACAGGGTTCCGGTGATAAAAAGCCGTTTGTGCCTTAAGAGATACACGCTAGGCTGGCCACGACTCGGGCCTCGATTCTGTTCCTGGAAGAACCAAAAGAAGCCCCTTGTTGCCTCGATACTGATTACGCTTTTGTCGGTCATCGCATGTATGACTGGGGCCTTTTTTTGTCCGAGTTCTGTTGATGAGAGATGGTTTCACATTGCAGAAATTGGGATTGCAGAACTCTCTGGCATCGGTGTCCGTTTTTTCTGTAGCCCAATTTCACTCTACTTTCCGTTGGGCCAAAAATTCCGCATACTTTTTTGTTGTTCTCGGGAGATTTTTCTACGAACCATCCATAAAAAAGGCCCGTCCAAAAATACTCCGCTTTTGGCAGCGGTGTACATCGTTGTTCGCTTGTTTTGGCTTGCTGTGCGCTGGGTGATTTTACGTGCCCCGCCGCCCGAGAGCATCCAAGATCACACCACTCTTTTCTTTCCTTTCCTTCCTTTGTCAAAAGACAAGTTAAATTGGTGAAACACACTCGCAGACCACAACATAGCTAGCTGCATATCGAGGCTAAAATGTCAAAAAATAACCAATGAGCGGCATGACATAATCAAAAAGACCTCGCAGTTGTCTGCTCGCCAAACATTTGTCCTGTTGATGCGATAACACACCACTTGTTTACAAAGTAATTACTGCCTAGACCGTCGGTGAAATGACAACGATCGTCAACCGCTACTCGGTTAGGATTCGGCGGGTGCTCGGGAAGGATGAAGAAGGAGAAAAGGCAACAAATTGGAGTTGAAGAGGAAAGACGGGCATCGTTGTAAATCCAGTTGCAGACTTGAAGACTTGGAGAAGGGGTGTGTCTAACATGGTTCTAGTAAAACGGTGCTATATTCCATTTCGCTTCCCTTCTGCAGGCTGCAGGCGCTGGTGAGCCACGCCATTTGCTCGATTACGAGCTCGCGGGCCTGGGTCGTGGATCGTTCGCTTCCCCTTTTGCTGCTTGTCGACGCCGATCAACTGCTATCCCGGTCGGCTGCGGAGTGCGTCTCTAGAACGTTTGCTTGCTCACCGGCCTTCCCAGCCTCCCGACCCGACCCGGCCTGCGGCTCTCCTTGCCAGCCCTTTACGTTTCCCAGTGTGAGATTGTTGTGGTCCACGTTAATAACCGGGAGGACAGACACGAGAATACGGAATAGGCAGAGAGGAAAAGCCAAAACACAGGTGTAGTACACGGATTGTCGGTTACTCGTCTCTTATCTCGTTTGACCACCATTCGCTCATTCGCTGTCCGCTCACCGCCTCAGCCCACTCCACACACACTTTTTGTAAGTCTCCGTGAAGATGGCATGCACATCTTCACCGAGAATCGTCAGCACTTCGCCGCCCTAACAATTGAGACAAACGCCGACTTGAAACTGCCAACGCTCTAGCCAGTACCTTTATCCGATGGTGGCTCTTGCGGGACGATGTTTTCGGTCGTCTTCCACCCTTTCTTGCTGTCTTGTCAGCTCCTAATCCCATCGTCTCGGCGCATATCCCAATCCAAACCCGCTCAAAGGCTGAGCTAAAACACCCCACGATGTAACGCTCGCGGTTTCTGCGCGGGGCAGTGGTCCACCGTGTAGCTTTGAAGCTCCGTTGGCGTCAATTGCAACCCCTGTATTTGTTTGCTTTCGCAAGCTATTGCCATGTAAGTTCAACAATGAGCAATGCATATCTCAAAGAAACTCGAACTGGTTTTGCCTTGCAAGAGGGCCCCGAGAATAGTGCCAGAAACAAAAGCAAAAGGAAATACGTTTTGCTTGCCTGCGGTCCCTGTCGGTAGATGCGAATTCGGCGCCAGCGCTAGTCCTCCATTCACAATTCACCATTGCTGTGAAAGGATGAGCCGCCGGATACCATGAGAAGAGTGGGAGCGTCGTAGCGAAGGATGGTTAAGGAGTTTCAAATGCAAGATGCACGATGCACGTCGTGCTTCGAGGATTGCCAGCCACATAAAGTGGCAGTGTGAAAGACACGAAAGGATTGCAGCTGCAGACCACATCTTTCATGGACTATGAACATAGCGGCAGGCTGGGACGGCAATGGATTGTCATCTGCGGCCAAACTGGTGACCGCGTTGGTATCGTGGCATTCTGGTATCGTGACATTGGGGTGGCGTCAGATGTGATTTCGAGTCCCTGCGCCATGATGATTGCTCCGTTTGCCGCCCACAAGATGCCAATGGTGCATTATTGAAAAACTAGTGATGAGGACGCCAGCCACATGTCTCGTCTGATGATCCCGCCAACCAGAGCTCTGGGAGCACGCGGCCGCATGCGAGGCCAAGCGTGCGGAAAGCGGTCCAAGTCCAGCCCTCGCCTGGGGTGGCCCGATCGCAATTACCCAGCTGCATGGTGAAGCGCCCAAGCGGCCTGATGTTGAGCCTTGGTTCTCCGTGAAGGCCATGGAAGACGAATGGAAGTGCAGGCTGGGCTGTTAGCTGCTCCGGGGGCGTGGATGGAGGATGCGGCGGGGGCAGACTTGCAGCGACGGAAGAGCGGTCAGTCTCGTCTCCCTGGAAGAATGACCAGCTTCACGTTCCTTTGAGGTGACGTTCCATCAAGATGTATGTTGTGTCTGTTGGTTGCCAGCTACCATACCGGCGCAAGGTCGTAGATGCTTGTTCAAGCTGTTGGGCCTCCATCCGATGCAGCCCACGGCTGGTGCTCATTGTTTGCACAAGTGACGAATTGATTCACTACGAGAACCGCACAACGCATCGTGTCGCATTCTTATCCCCTTTTGTTGATTTTGTCCTCTTTGACCCCTTTTCCCAAACCCATCGTACCTTCTGTGTCTCGATTTTCGCCGACATGTGCACCTTCCTAAAAGGCGGACTTACAGTTGTGAGTGGCCACGAGGTACCCCTTTCGGCTAATTAGGCGCGCTGTAGGTACTGGACCCACAGCTAAACCGACCACACAGAGAAAGGCGGGAGGAAGCTTTGACAAGCGCGGGCGCTTAATTATCACAAAAAATGAATACTGTTTGAGTGTGCTTTAATTTGGTTGGCCCTTGTAAACACACATTCCACGTCGTATGTCGGTCAACGCTGCAGGGTCAAGCATTCAGCCCCCCCGAACTCGACAACGTCCACCAATAATGGACGTTTGTTCGGGTCATTGTCCATGCACTGCATAGCCATTTCAATCCAACTTGAGGGGCAGCTGTCCGCATTTTCCCACATAATCTGGACATCCTTGGGGTGGCCAACCTCGTCGAATCCGTCAGTCGTCTGGGTCAGCAGCATCCATACCGTCCTGCCTAGCGCAAAAACTTCGGCCATTGCTCTGGGACAATTCGCCTGCCACTCCGGAAATACATTCCAAATGTGGAAGGGCTGCTGCCCGCTGCCCTCAGGTATGTTTCGTCGTTCTGGGCCACCGTATTTCGTATAGACCAACTTTTTGCTACCAGCCGCTCGTTGGCTGTTGCGAGAATGCACGTCGTCCACTTCCTCTACTACCCAGGTCCCGTCCGCTTCTGGAGCCAGTGTAGTGGCCGGGGCGCCGCTCTGTTCCCAGTCGATGAGGGTCAGGTTGTCATTGTCATCCACAAGAAAATTTCCCGGCTTGATGTCCATGTGAAACGTGTGCATGACGTTGTGTGTGTGTGCGATGGCCTGTGATATTTGAAGAGCCCACTGAGCCTTTTGCCGCACGGAAATGGTGGTTCCGCTAGAATTGGCTGATGCAATGACGGCAGCAAGGTCGCCCTTGGGGCAAAACGTCGACAGATGGCCGATAAGCGCCCCGCGGACCGAAACCAGCATCTTGGGAGGTGGCTGGATGCGGGGGTGTGCCGGCAAGCTCGCAATCAGTTTACTTGATTGCCGCCATGCGGCGACGGTTGCTCGGGCAAACTCGTCGTCGTCGTCGTGGACTTGTAGGTATGTCTGGAAGTCAACACCCTTGAACGCATAGGTGGACAATAGATCCGCACTACCCGCATCACCCGTATGACCCTCCTGCCCGATTAGGACTTGCACCCGCTTGCTGCAGCCTTTGCCGCCCATCGCTGAGAGAATCACCACCTGTGAAATGTCGACGACGGAAGCAAGCTGGTCTCCTTGCGGCATGAGGTCGCTTGGCTGTATGCCGCGAAACAGTTCAAGGTATTGGTCGAAGAGAGGCTCTTCGTATGCGTTCCAGGCAACCACTCCATCCTTGCCCGAGACCAGATCGACAACCATGCCTGGCTCAAAGATGCTTGGCTGGTCGACGCAGCTGGGCCAGACGGTCGCTATCGTCGACCAGACTGTGCTTCGCATTGCATCGAGGTCCGTGAATCCTCACTGAGGGCTGGATTCTTCGTTGCCATGGTAGTAATTGACAATACGACTTGGGAGCGATTGAGGAGAGTCATCGAGGTGGAAGCGAAAGATGACTGCTCGTCCTTTTCCAAGGACTTGGCTGTAGACGATCGTCTCGTCTTCATCGCCCCAAATGCTGTCCGGAACGACATCAAGAGTTAATAGTGCCTGCACGCCCCCCATTTCAAAAACTTCAATAATTCAATAATTCAAAAGACTTTGATGCGAAGTTGGCTCTTTCTGTCAAAAAAATTGCCGCATACAACTTGTTCAAACATTTGGATGTGTGACTCTTCTCTGATGTGCAAATATTGATTATGTAATGCTCGTTTCGCTAAATGAAGTGCGCGCCTGCCCGCAAAACCACTAAACGCGTTCAGGTCGTTCCTCCCCTGAAAGCTCCCAGGTATAGCCAATCACAGGCCGTGTTGCCCAGAGTTCACCATCCATCAAAACATCAACGATTGACATCGAGAGACGACCAACAGACAGCCACGAGCTGATAGTGTGACGAACCGGGAAGCAACACACCCTCTCGGCCCCTTTCATACAGACCTCTTATTTTGAAATAAGAAGGCTCCCGACGCAGTAGCGTCTCACGCAACACCTTCTTTTCGCCCTTCCCTCAAGACGGTCTTCGTGACTTCAGGCGTCAAAATAGCCGCTTCGCCATTACACCGTTCTTCTGCTTTACTTTGCCCCCCCTGGTTTCCTCTTTCACGGGCGTCATTTATCACGGTTGTCTTGTCGCTTCGCGCGCGTTGTCCACGTCACATCCGCGAGGCCCCTTCTTTTTTCACGCCGTCCCCCTTCACCAAAGGACGCACACCCCCTCCTTTACCACTTCCTCCTTACCATTTCCGGCCTCTTTTTTCGGCGTCCTTTCTCGCTTGGCGCTTAAGGCGCATAACTGTCGACGACGACACGACAGCAAGATAACAAAACGCGCAAGGTAGGGGGAGGCGTGTGCATGTGGCGGTGCGGTGAAGGATCACCAAAAACGCCATCACAGACCGGCCATCCCCAGCAGGAAGGCAGAAGGTCCGGTCGGTGACGAGGACGAAGCGCTACGTCGGGGCTTCGCATCTCCCCACACTACCTAGACGTCGTCAACAACCGCCCCGAGCGCGTATTGACCCGGCCATCGCGCCAATCATGGCTGCCGTCGAGAGCAGCTTTGCGACCCTGGATGATGCATTGAGGTCAGTTGACGAGGGCGAAGTGGAGACAGGAGAGACACATTGGAGCATTGTACATACTGACATTGCATAGGGCATCGCGGCAACAAAGCGGGCAGGCAACAGGCCCCTCACTGCCCAACTGGAAGGCGCAGCGCCGCCAGTTGTTTCGCTCCGTCTTCCAGACTGACATTTCTCAGCCCACACCCCAAGCAACCCCCCTCGCCGTCTTTCCAGAATTCGGCCAAGCCTTTGGCGTTCCCGGGGCGGCAGGACCCAGAGGAGCTGGCGGCCCGACTGCTGAAGCAGGGCTCGCTCAGTCGCAGGACAGTGAGGACCTCGAACTGCCGGATGCACACGAAGACGAGGGTGCGAGCGGCGGGCAGACCCCAAGAGGGCCAGCAGGAGCCACTGCACCCCCCTCTCGACGTGGCCTGCGCAGCTCCAGCGTCTCATTTGCACCACAGCCTCAAGGGAGTGCAGCAAGCGAGGCTAGTCGACAAAGACGACGAAGGGGGCACGGGTTCGATGCGGCACCACCACCGTTGGTGCAGTCTGAGTCGGCCGCAGACGACCAGATCCGCTTCGACCGCGCATGGCATGTGGTTACCGCCCGCATTGCCCTGCCCTCGTCCGTCGCGGTGGAGGACTCCTTTGGCACCCTGGCCCCTGAGTCGCAGCTGCTTTCGTCGCAGGATGCGGCCACCGAGACAGAGTTCCAAGAGGCCCTGCGTCTGGTCCTGTACGCCAGCGCCATCCTCCCACGCGCAACGCACGTCGAGGACGTCTTGGCCTGGCACACCCACCAGGTTCGCCGCCACTATGCGCAGCATGTGCTGCCCATGCTCTCGGCCTGTACCGGCGAAGCACCGGCCTCTGTGCCACCGGGCGACCTCCGGTACTACGACCACCATATGAACGTCGTTTTGAACAGTGTCCGCACGTTGGAGGCCGCGTTTCGCCTGTATTTTTATGGAATGATGCTGCTCGCACGCGGTCTGCCGTCCGGCGAGGAACCAAGTCATAACGAAGGCGGCAGCGACGGCGAGCACACACCGTCGCCACCGCCGACGGCAGACACCGTCGTGTCCCGCTTCCGCCAAGACGTGAATGCCCTCGTGGCGAACTCGACCCCGGAGGGTCTTGTAGTCTCCCTCCGTATCGTCTTGACCCGGTTTGCCAGTGTTATCCTAGGGTTCGATCCCCCCAAACCAGAGGACGGTAGTGCCACAGCAACTTCGGCTGCTGCCAGCAACAGCACACCATTCAGAAGGCGAAGTGCCCAGGGAGCACCCATTTCGCCTGCGCCAAAACAAAGAAAACCGCTGTCAGCTACAGCAGCGGCAATACCGCGTCCGCCGGCCGATGACGATAGCCGCGTCCAGCTGCTGCGACAGCAGATGCACGAGATCCTTGTGCCCCTGCACAATGTCGGTCTCGCCGGCGAGAACTTCCAGATCCTGCTCGCCGAGATTATGGACGAAAAGATGGTGGAGTTTATCCAACTCTCCTTTGCCGGGAGCTGGAACGAGACGGATGCAGAGGCAGCCTCGGTGGGGGACCGGACTGCTATGCGGTCGTCAAGTCTTTCCGCCAGCGTCGGAGCCGGTTTCAATGCGAGCTTTGTTGGGACCCCATCGCGGCCCGGGCATCGCCAGTCGAAAGGCCCCAGTGCACCCTCGGCGTGCATCGGCGCGTTGAACCACTGGATCGAGAACCACTTTGCACGTCTCGCACACGAAGTTCTCGGCCGCATCGGTGCCGCCGGCGCTGGTGGCGCGCGCGAAGCTGTTTCACTGTCGGATGTCAACAAATGGAAAGAAGTGGCCCTCGGCCGCCTGTCCGCTCTGCGCATGACGGAGCTATTCGACATTGTCCTGCACTGGCCGCAGAGTCGAACCGGTCTCGAGGATTTGCGCATCAGCGTCACCACGCCGCAACGCCGCTCGCAGCTAGTGTCCACCTTCACGGCGGCCCTGCGAAAGCGCCTGCTGCACCCGGCTTGCTCGACGCTCGAGATTTTGCAGGTCTACGTCGCCATGATCCGCACATTTCACGCCCTCGACCCATCCAACGTGCTCCTCAGTGCTGCCGTGGGCCCGTTACAGTTTTACCTGTGCCAGCGCGAAGACGCTGTGCGCATCGTGGTGGACGGCCTGTTGGCCGACCCGGAGAGCATCTACGCAACGAACATGACTGCCGCCAGCCGCATTGAGCGGTCTCGCCTACGATCGACGACGCCCACATCAGGTTCGGCCACCGCGCCGCTGGTCGACAAGGCCAAGCTCGTCGAGCTCGCCGGCATCCTCAACGATCCGTCACAGCAGCGCCGCCGCCACGTAGACGAAGAGGAACTGGACTGGAACGACATGGACTGGGTGCCCGACCCCATTGACGCCGGCACCAACTACCGCCGCCCCAAGTCAGAAGACGTTATTGGCACTCTGATCAACGCTCTGGGCTCGCGCGAGGCATTCACCAAGGAGTTCCAGAATATTATTGCCGAACGCTTGTTGTCGCCGCAGGACTCGTTTGCCAAGGAAGTCAAGGTGCTCAACCTGCTCAAGAAACGATTTGGCGAAAGCTCCCTCCAGAGCTGCGAGGTCATGATTCGCGACGTCCAGGACTCGGGCCACTTTGACGCCGTCGTGGAGCACCTGATGCGCCTCGACAAAGAGGCAGACTCTGCCGCCTCTGCCGCCTCTTCCGCCCCTGCCGCCCCTGCCGCCCCTCCCCCCCCAATTCAGTACCGGGCCAAGATTCTGTCGCGCCTGTACTGGCCCGGCCTGGGTCCTGAGCACTTTCTGCTGCCGCGCCCCGTGGCGGACACACAGAAACGCGTTGATTCGTTCTACGAGGCCAACAAGTCCGGCCGCAAGCTGGCCTGGCTCAACCAGCTCGGCCAAGCCACCGTCGACCTCGAGTTGGATGACCGCACCGTGCAGGTGGACTGCAAGACATATGAAGCGACTGTCATTTACGCCTTCCAGGACGACTCGGCCGAGGCGGAACGGCTCGTGCGCACGCCGCCTGCCCAGCGGACTGTGCCGCAGCTCTACGAAATGCTCCAGATGGACGAGGATCTGATTGTGTCTGCGCTCCAATTCTGGGCGAGCAAAGGCGTGCTCATGCAAGACCGCCAGGATCCCGAACGCTATACGGTCATTGAAGATGTCGAGCGCGCCAGGGTCGAGCGCGAGCGGGCGATGGCGAGAGACGAGGCGGAACGCAAGAAGGCGGCCGAGGCGGCCGACGAAACACCTGCGCCAACCACGGCCACCACCGCAACCGCAGCGGCGGCTCCGACCCGCAGCAAGCGCGAGGCTCGCGCTGACGATGCACAGCGGACCGTGTATTGGCAATTCATTGTGGGCATGCTGACAAACAGCGCCGTCTCCATGCCCTTGGCGCAGATCGCCATGATGATGAAGATGCTCATTGCCGAAGGCTTCCCTTGGAGCAACGAGGAGCTGCAGGAGTTTCTGGGCGAGAAAGTCACAGACGGCGAGCTCGAGGTGGTTGGCGGCAAGTACCGTCTAGTTAAGAAGTAGACGCAGGGTGCTGTTGACGACACATTCCGCATTATGGGCTACGACGATGCAGCGAATACGACAGACAAGTTACTATATTAATGATGCGTTTATTTCGGGGGGCTCCCTTTTCGCAATAATGTTTGTGTCTCTTATAAGCCCATAATTCCCAACTCCAGTAAAGATGATGATGCCATGTAAAAATGTCGTAAACATACAAGCAAGTGGACCATGGTCGTAAAACAGTTCGCACACATAAACAAGTAAACACCTTTAGGGTATGTTACCGCACCCAACCCTCAAAGTCATCAGCAAACCACACAGCCGCGTTCAGGTACCGGTCCTGAATGTCGCCCCATGTGCGGGCAGCGTCTATGAAAGCACGTAGAGCTAATTTGTTTGTCAGTGAGGCACGAGGAAGGAAAGGAACATGAACAAAAAAATATTGGGAGTGCAGACATACTCTTAATATAGTGCTCATCCGTGCTCCACCGCGACGACACGGCTTGCTGCTCCACGTACGTCCAGCCCTTTGTCTTGCGATGGTCTTTCGGCACGTTGTCTGGGTCCACGGGAGGCCGGCCCACCGCCACGTACGTCGCCAGCGCCAGCAGCCACCACTGCTGCAGCACACCCACGTGCAGCGCCGGCGGAATCTCGGGCAGCAGGACCCGCACGGCGTGGCTCGTCGTCAGCGCGTGGCACACAAAGAAGTTGTAGCTGTGCGTGCCGGGGACGACGGACGCGACGAGCATGTCCGCGGACACGTCCTGGGCCTCGCGCACGCGCAGCGTCAAGTCGTTTTGTACGGGCTCGTCGCGGCCCGTCAAATCCCACGCGTGCCAGTACTCGAGCAGGGCGGTCGCGACCTCGGGCGACGGCGGCGCGAGAATCAGCGACTCGATGCGGCTGCCCAGGGCGACGGCATCGAACCGCGCGTCCTTGGCGATGCGGTCGACCAGCTGCTGGAGGGACAGCCCCCGGAGCGCATCCGGCACGTCGTCGTCGGCTGGCAGCTGCCCGAACGGGTACTTTTTGGCGTAGTCGGCGTTGTAGGTCACGGCCGTCATACCCAGCGCCTCCATGGCGAGCACGCGGCTGTCCATTTCGTAGGCGTACGCCAGGTGGATGAGCGGGTGGCCGAGGCCGCAGATGAGGCTGTTGAGGAGCAGGTGTCGGTCGGCCTTGTCCGGCAGCGTGTTTGTCCGCGCCGCCCCCGCCGCCCCCGTCGCCCCGTCCGCAGGGGCCGTCGGCGTCACCCGGCTGCTGAACATGGGCGGCACCAGGTCGCCGTCCACCTCGACCGTGTCGTCGTCGCCCCACGGCCGGCCCTGGCCCAGCAGGTACGCCTCCACCACCGTCCGCCAGTTGTACGCCACGCTGTGCTCGGCCAGCACGTCCTCGAAAAAGTCCACGTACGCGCGCTGGTACGCCGTGTCGCCCAGGTAGTCGCGCCAGTCCACGTCGGCAATCTCGGCGGGGGACGCCTGCCAGGGCACGAGTTTGGGCGCAATGGCGTCGTATATGAGGTTCATCTGCTCGGGCGTGGCGCCCAGCAGGTAGGCCGAGCAGAGTGCGTGGGCCATGTGGTTGTGGCGGCCGTTGTCGTCGCCGTACATGAGGGCATGGTTGACGTGGTTGCCGCGCAACAGGTGCTTGAGCGTGCGCGGGCGCTTCTCGGGGCGGGTCTCGACGGCGTGGACCGGGGCAGACTTGAGACGGCGAGCGGCAGGGATCGACGAGGCGCCGGTGATGGCGTCGACGAGGCGCCCGACGAGCGGGATCGAGGAGAGGAGCGGCATTGTGATCGAGACGGTGGTTTTTTGGTCGGAGAACGGACAAGAGGATTGTCGCGTTTTCCGTGTTCGATTATGGTTTTGTGTATGAATGAAGAATGTAAGAACCGATATACGGAGCACGGAGTACAGAGGAAAGAGACTGATCGTTATGCCCGTCGCAACGGAGCTCGGGGGGTGTCCGAAATTCCGACTTCTGACGTTGGCTGTTCTGTTGGGGACGCTGTCGAAAAGTGACGTGAGGCCCCAAAAGCAGTTGACAGTCGATGCCCCGCTTTCAGCTAAGAGCCGCTCCTGCCCACTGAATCGTGTTAGTGCAGCTATTTGTTTTGTTACTTAATTACGTAGGTTGACAGAGGGCTCCACCGCGACGCGAGGAAGGTGCAAAGTAGCCGGCAAACCCCGCTAGAGAGGCGCTGACAGTGCTTTTATGGGAGCTGCCCCGCTAGGCCTCAGAGCTTCGAAACGTCATAAGTAAATCTTCAAATCGCAGCACGAAAAACCTCGGTATTCCCCTCAGCTTCAGTTACCACGTCCCAACATCTACACGAGGCGATATCCATCCAATTGACGTCCAATCGACATTTATATCCTTTTACCGAATCTTTGACTCGCCGTCCCCTGCCAACCGCCCACAATGTCCCCGCCGGCCATCATCGCCCCCTCCATTCTGTCGGCCGACTTCGCCGCCCTCGGCCAGGAATGCGCCAAGACCATGGACCAGGGCGCCGACTGGCTGCACGTCGACATCATGGACGGCCACTTTGTCCCCAACATCACCTTTGGCCCGCCCGTCGTCGCCAAGATCCGCTCCCACGTCGCCAACCCGGCCGACACCAAGACGCCCCTCGGCCGCGGCACCTTTGACTGCCACATGATGATCGCCGAGCCCAAGCGCTGGGTGCGCGAGTTCAAGGACGCCGGCGCCAACCTGTACTGCTTCCACTACGAGGCCGCCTTCTCGACCGCCGCCGAGACCCCGGCCGCCGAGTCCGAGCTCAAGACGTCGCCCCGCGAGCTCATCCGCTACATCCACTCGCTGGGCCTGCAGGCCGGCGTCGCCATCAAGCCGGCGACGCCCGTCGACGTGCTGTACGAGCTGGTCGAGGCGGCCAACGAGGCCGAGCGCCCGGACATGGTGCTGGTGATGACGGTGGAGCCCGGGTTCGGCGGCCAAAAATTCATGGCGGACCAGATGCCCAAGGTGCAGGCGCTGCGGCAGCGGTACCCGGAGCTGAACATTGAGGTGGACGGCGGTTTGGGCCCCGGCACGATCGATGTGGCGGCGGAGGCGGGTGCGAACGTGATTGTGGCCGGGTCGGCCGTGTTTGGTGCCAAGGACCCGTCCGAGGTCATCGCGAAGCTGCGGGAGGCCGTCAATGCGCGGAGAAAGTAAGGTGGAACAGGGGATGACAACGGTGCAAGGGAAACAAAAAAAAAGAAAGGGTATTTATAGTTTGGGGTGTATGGAGTCATGATGGGCTTTGATGCCATCGGAACATGGCAATACGGGATAGGTCATGACCGCCGGTATGTCAAGGCTACAAACGACCGTAGTATCAGCCGTGACGGCACTCTCTTGAGGAACATGTGGGAATAAAGACGATAGATTTACCGATTACAAGAATTTAAAACCGATTACCTGATCACATGAAAAGCCAAACTTGAACAACGGAAAAACTAACAGTGTTTTTTGAGAATATACTTTGCCACTCCAACTGCAGTCAACATGGGTGGAAAGCAGTGAATTATACTCTGTTTTACCTACAATGCTCTGATTATAACAGGATTTGTTCTGCTCCTCGTCAAATGTCATATCGAATCATGATTAAAGCTCGTTAGCTTGATGGTATTGTGATGAATGGCACTAGATGGCCCCAAATAACCTAATCCTAAAAGATGGTCCCAAGATGACGGTAGAATATCCAAAGATGCTGTTCGCTAACTATGCAATATGCGAGGGCAAAGCAAGGCCCGAGACATGAAGCTGGAAAACAAAACAAAAACAAAAACAAAAAAAAACCAATGAAAACCAATATCTACTCTAATCGCCAATCTTCTTTAGCTTGTCAATACTGACCGACGACACAAAGGCATGGCGCAAAAAGTGCAGCCAAACCTGGTTCTGCTCCTCCTTCTTTTTCTTGTCCTTCTTCTTCTTCTTCTTGCCGCCGGCATCCTCAAAGTCGGCATCGTCTTCGTCGTCGCTAGCATCATCATTGGCATCGTCGCCGTCTTTGACGACCTCGTCGCCGCCAACGTCAGCGACCGACTTTTTGCTCGTCTTCTTGCCCATGCGGTAGGCCATCTCCAGCAAGCTGTTGACGGTCATGTCGGACAGGTTGTAGATCTTGTCGGTAAAGGTGCTGTACTCGACTTGGTACATAAACTTGTGCGGCTGCGCAGGGCTCGTCTTGGGCGACTTTTCACTGTGGTCGCCCTCGCGCCACTTGTCGCTCTCGACGTTGTCGTCGCCACCATCAGCACCGCCAACGCCGACCGTCATATCATTGTTGATGTAGGTCAGGTTGGCAAAGTACTGTACGTAACCGCGCAGGGTGAGTGGCTGTGGCGAGTAGGCGGGGCCAGGCTCGGCCGTCTTGGCCGGGCCTTTGGGGACGACGAGATTCGGGTCTTTCTTGCCGTTGCTCTTGTCCTTGTCCGCGTCATTTTCGCCCTTCTTCCCCTTCTTGCCCTTCTTCTCCTCACGGAGAGGGGGCAGCTCGTCCTCAGGGAGGACGGGCACGAGGCTGGGCCCGTCGGTCCAGACATCAGCTTCCTCCATGCCGCTGATGTTGTACTCGACGACACGGAGCGCAGGCAGGTAGTTGGGCACGATGCTGGGGCTGACAAACGTGAGCTGGTAGCGCTCAGCCCACTTACGCGACAGCTTGGGACCCTTCTTCTTCTTGTTCTTCTTGTTCTTCTTGTCCTTCTTGCCCTTCTTCTTTTTCTTTTCCGGATCCACCTCGCCGTCGTCGGCTTCAGCGCCGTCGACGGCACTGTCGTCGAGTGACCGTGGCTTGGGAAGCTTGGACCACTCGCTGCGCAGCTCCTGCAGGTAGTCGGCCGTTGACAGAATGTCCATGTCGTCCTCCATATTGGTCCGGACAGCTGCCTCAGGCTCATCGTAGTCGTACGCATCGTCATCGTCCTCGTCCTCGTCCAACGAAAGGCCCTCAATCTCGGCGCGCGAGGCACCAATCAGTTTGTAGTTGAGCTCCTTCGTGTCCTGCAGCATAAAATGGTCCACGTTCATGTGGCCGTACAGGCCGCTGACAATGACGTCGCGGTACTGGCGCAGCCACAGTGTGTACTTTTGCCAGCAGGTCTCGTCCCAGAGCTGCTTGCTGCCGGTGCGGGCCGGCGGGACGTGGCCCGTCAGGATGGCCTTGACGCCGCGCTCACGCAAAAACTGCAGCTGGATGCGCAGCCACTCGAGCTGCTTGAAACCCGGCTCAGACGGTTGGACGCAGTCGTCGATGCCGGCATTGCGGTCGAAAAAGTAGAGTGTGTTGAGACTAAAGACGGCGAGGCGGTTCGGGATCACCTCGACATAGAACCAGCCGCCAAACTCAAACGAGTGGCGCTGCTCCTGCGGGATAAACCGCGACCAGATGTCGGTGTAGCGCTTGAGCCACTTGTTGGGGCCCGGCAGCAGCACGTTGTGCGGCAAAATGTCGTTGTTGCCAAACGTCGGGATGATGGGAATGCGCAGGCCCTGGCCCGAAGGGTCCTCAAAGAGGTCGACAAATTTGTCGGCAATCAGCTGGTTGGAGTTTTGGACCTGGGCAGGCGAGCGCGGGATCCGCTCGTCGCTGTCGTGGCGGGCGGAGTCGCCGGTCCAGACGACGAAATCAATGTCATCGCGGATGTTCTCGGCGATCCAGTCAAACGTGGCGTTGATAAGAGAGTAGGGGGTGTCACAGTCGGAGGTCTCGGCGCCGTACGTGCCGGCCGGCCCTTTCCCCGAGTGACAGGCGTGTTCTTCAGATGTCGAAGAATGGACTTTGTAAAATTCGTCTGGGTGCAAGTCTACCGCGGCATAGGTTAGCTCCTCGTCAATGAAAATCGATGGAGATATGATATGGTGTGGTGTGCTGCGTCCTCGTTTCCGTTTGGTTGCAGATATGGGAGGTAGTAGCACCAAGAAATATCAAGCTCATCCAACCCGTCCCGCGCATATTTTGTGACGTAGTAAAAACCCGGCGGGGTGGACCTTGTTGAATGTGGTGTGTGTGTGTAGCTCAAGAATACCACGGAATAAAAAGACGGGGAACAATGGCAGCTAGCGATAGCAGTACCACTTGGAGAAAAGCTCACCTGTGATATGCAGGAACTTGCCATGCAGGCGACGCGGGCTAGACGCTGCCTCCCCCGGCGCATCGCCCAACACGCGTTGCGACCCGCCTGGTCGTGCAAACACCTGCGGTAGGCGGCCAAGCGGGCTGGCGACGGCGGCGGTGCCGTATAAAACAAGCGGGAGAAGGCGGGAGAGCGATGCCGAGCGCATGGACGTCGGGGCGGCGCGCTGCCGTCGTGATGTGGTCGAATGCCGCATGGTTTGTGAAGTGCTGTGCGCGCGGGTTTTGGGCGTAAAATGTGTGTGGTGAGGGCGCGGCCCAGCCGCTGTTCCACGTTGAGGTCTGCACAGAGGCACCGAAAGGTCGAAAAGGCAGCTGAGAGCACGTTAGATGGCCATGCAGCGCATGGTAGTCGGTGAGGTTATTCGGGTGAATTTGAGTGACGTCCACAAAAGGAGAGAGAGAGAGAGAGAGAGTTGGGTTCGACAAAGTAAAATGGCAGGAATGAACCATGAAAAAGTCCCTTCTGGAAAGAGCTGTCGGTGAGGGAGGAACGATCGGACTGGACAGGTTGGTATATTGGTGCGTTGGCCCTGAAACGGACCCTATTTCCTTTTTCGAGGCAATGACATTCCGCGTCTCGTCACAGACTCTTCGTCCTTTGCGTGTCTTTTCTTTGGTCTGTCGTGTCTGGTTCGCGAT